CGGGGCGGGGCGGGGGCGCGGGGTGGGCGCCCTCGGCCCCGGGAGCGGCGCTTGCGCGCCCGCGGCCGAGCTCGGCGCGCGTCCCTCTAGAGGCGGCGGCGGCGGCGCCAGCGCGGGGCGTCCGCGGAGCGCGCCTTGCCAAAGCGCCCTCGGTCGGGTCGGGAGCGGCGGAACGGGCGGCTGCGGGGAAGGCACGCCCGCCGTCCCCGGCCGAGCCGAGGGGCTGCGGGGGAGCTGGACCCGCGCGGCGGAGCGGGGGGCGAGGGGCGGAAGAGCCCTCGAGGCAGGGCGGGGGGCAGGAAGGCCGGCGTTCGCCGCGGGCGCACCCAGCGGGGCTGCGGGCACTTCTGCCGTGGCCCGAGCCAAGAGCGGCGCCCCTTGCAGGATGTGGTGCGGACGGAGGAGGGCAGGGTGCGAGATCTCACGGCCCGAGAAGAAGGCACTCGAGAAGGTGGCCAGGGGAAGGGTCCATTTCTTTTCTCCTGGGATCTTTGGCAGAGGCCCTTCGTCACCTTGATTTAGTACACTTTGTTCCAGTGGTGTGAAAGCTAGAGCTGGTTTTGCTGGAGCGGACCAACAGCCCACCTTGCCCCAGCATTCTGTTTCCAAGGGTGGACAGCCAGAAGCCTCGCAAGCAGGGCCTGGAGAGGATGTCTCTGCCCTCTTTTGTGCCTGATGCAAAGGTGGATTTCCCCCTGATCAGGACCCAACAGGAATAAGGGCTCACACTCCTCCAGGGATGTTCTCCATTCTTTTAAAAAGCCACGAACAGAGTGAGCCGTTGCTGCCGCCGCCGCCACCACCACCACATCTTCTGGGTTAAGCCCCTTAAGTCCACTGCACCTCCCCTGAAGTTCCTCTCAGCCAGCGTTGCTCAGCAAACCCAGAAGCCTCTCTCTGCCTCGTCCACTCTCTCTCTTTGCGCAGCTCGCGTGATTGCAAAACCCTGGAGAGTTTCCCCTTCAGCCATCTTCCAACTTCCCCCTTTCACTGCCTGTGACGCCGGAAGAGTAGCGAGCACCGCAGGACACGAGAATTGCGAGAATTGCACAGGCCACTTTGTCAGGTTGCTTGCCGGCCACACACCTGGGAAGAATGGTCCTCGCGGGGCTGGGGCCGGGGCTGGGCATGATCGGGCACCTGCCAAGGGCCCACGCCTGGCAGGGCCACTGACAAGGGGCATGGAGCGGCCCTCCCCAGTCCCCACTGCAGCCTGCCTGCCTGCCTGCCTGCCTGCCTCTTGGTTCCAGCCCGGGGCACGGAGGCAGCGAGCGAGGAGGTGCTGCTCCCAGAAGGCAGAAGTTGTTCTTGTGGGCTTAAGGTACAGGATTAAGGCAGATTTTGGGGATACCTTTAAGAAAACTTCTTGGTGCAGTTAAGAACAGGTCTGGCTACCCAGAGGGGTGGTCCCGGGCTGGTGGCCCAGGAGCACAGAATGGGTGAGCAGCTTCTGGCACTGGGAGTGGGTGCTCGAGAAGGGCATCTCTGCTTTGGTTGTGGTCCCATCCCGGGGAACAAAACACATCCCCTGAACGGCTGCAAATTCTCCAGAATCCACTTGGGGCTGAAGCACGTGCCCATTCTGACCAGGATGGCACAACTTCAGAAATCTGTCATTCAACTTTATTTCTTTATTCGATTTCTATCCTGCCTTTTTCCTACCAAGGGCTCAAGGCAGCTTACACCATTCTCCTCCTCCATCTTATCCCCACAATAACAACAACCCTGTGAGGTAGGCTGGGCTGAGAGGCTGTGACTGGCTCAGAGTCACCCAGTGGGCTCCATGGCCGAGCAGGGACTCGAACCCATGAGTCCAGGCCCAGACCCTTCCCCACGACGCCACGCCGGCTCTCATTAGCCTGCAGGGAAAATTTGCCCAAGTGTGAGAGTCGTGCTTGTTTGCACGATGCTTGTGTTCTGTCCCCTGCATTGCACACAATGGGTGTAATGTGTGTGGAAGAAGAGCCGGGTGCAAACCGAAGGGTGAATCACGGTAAGGCTTGGCCCTGAGAGGAGAATCTGGGGGAGCGCAGGAGGTTTGTGTCTGTGGGTTTGAAGGGTTTGGAGTCACCACTATATTTTGCCACTGCAAAAAGTGGGGAGCTTGTCACCCTACACACCCCCCACTCAAATGCATACGCCTGTGCATGAAAAATAAATTTAGCCCAGGCACAAAAAGACAGTATGGAAGGACGCACCAAGGCATGCACACACACACACACACACACACATCCCCTTGAAGCTCCGAAACCGACTTCAGGAAGAACTGGGGTTTGTCTTGCCATGACAAAAGGATAAAAACAGGAAACCCCAATGCACATCTGTGGGGGTAGCGGGCCAGGAGTGTGCGGGAAGGAAATGCCGACTTTTAAAAATATTCTGCAATCTCAGAAAAAAGGCCGCCCTTCCCAGGTCTGTGCGTTGCTGGGCTGCTCCTCTTTGCCACTTCTGTGTCGAAGGAAGAGCGAGCAGGGCCGTGCCGCTCGTGGGCGCTGAGGGAAGCTGCCACGAGAGAGGGACGGGGAGCCCCACGGCCCCCTACTCGACACGGTCCCCTTCCAGACCAGCCCTCACGATCCCTTCCCTTGCATCGGAAGGAGGCTGCACTGAAGGAAGGGGTGGGAGAGCAGCTGTGGTTTAGTCCTGAGGCCGAGCAGCCGTGGTCTCTTTGGATGACAACAGCCACCAGCACAGCCGGCCGGCCGGGTCGTGTGGATCGTGGCTTCCAGACGACTGGAGGGCGCTCACCAGGCGAAAGGCGGCGAGTCACAACCGAGCCGCGTTCGGCTGTTCGGGCTGCTTTGGACCCACCGTCCTTTGCCCGGTTTGTGCATGTGGCTCCTGGCTGGCTGTGGCTGATGGTCCCTCTGGTGCGTCTGGGCGGGGGCGGGAGGGCCAAGCCCGAAGCAGCCCCCCAGAGAAGAGCGTGCGGAGGGACGCACCTCACAGGCGGCTCTCTGTCCCCTGCAGTCACGATGGAGGCGTTCAGCTCCCGCAACCTGGCCCTGCAGGCCGAGAAGAAGATCCTGAGCCGCATGGCCAGCAAGTCCGTCGCCAACATGTTCATCGACGACACGAGCAGCGAGATCCTGGACGAGCTGTACCGCATCTCCAAGGAGTACACGCAGAACCGGGCCGCGTCGCAGAAGGTCATCAAGAACCTCATCAAGGTGGCGGTCAAGATCTCCGTCCTCTACCGGAACCGCCGCTTCAGCGAGGCCGAGCTGGGCCTGGCGGAGGAGTTCAAGCGCAAGCTGCACCAGGGCGCCATGACAGCCATCAGCTTCCACCAGGTGGCCTTCACCTTCGAGAAGGCCGTCCTCGTGCAGATCCTGCAGGAGTGCCGGGACTTGCTGCTGAGGCTGGTCGACAAGCACCTGACGCCCAAGTCGCACGGGCGCATTCGCCACGTCTTCGACCACTTCGCGGACGTGGAGCTGCTCGCCCAGCTCTACAGCCCCGGGGAGCCCTACCAGCCGCACCTACGGAAGATCTGCGAGGGGCTGAGCCGCCTCCTCGACGAAGGGAGGCTCTGAAGCCCACCGGAGGCGCGGGGAGGGGGCAACCCCTACAGACGCGGGCGGGCGGGCGGGACGGAGCCGGGGAGGGCACGCTCACTTCCCTGGCACTCCCCGCGGCGGCCGGCAGGGTGGTCCTGCCGCCGCAAGGATCATGGACCACGCGCCCCAGGCACGTGCTGGGGGAGCCACGGCCCCAGTCACGAGGCGCTGCACGTTCCGTGGCTCCAGCAACCCCGTGCAGGCTCAGCTGCTTGGCTTTTCTTCCCAGGAGGACTAGAACGCTGAGGGCCGGCAGGGGTGACTGCAAGCATTGAGTTTCAGACCTGCTACCCGCGCACCTGCCTGTGCGTGCAGGTGTGCAAGAGGAAGGGGCAGCCATGCCCCCAGCCCCCTGCTGCATCTTCCCAGGCCACCCGCGACAAACGTGATGCATCTCTGGTCTGCCTGGGATGTGCACATCAAGCTTCTTCGGCGGACTTTGGGGAGGGAGACGGATGTCCGGGCCCCCCAGCGGCTTGCCCCCTCAGGTCAGGGGCCGGACCGTGCACCTCCTCAGCCGCGGTGCCACATCCGGGCAAAGCCTGCAAGCGGAGCGCGGGGCGGCAGGGGGAGGCGATCCAGGAGGGGGCGCAAGCTTGGCTGCCCATCCAGCCGGGCAGCTGCCCACCGTCCCTCCGCAGCGCCTGCAGCCCTCGTCCTCGGGGGAACCGCTAAGGCTCTCAGGGAAGTTCGTCAGCCGCGTTCACTCCTCTGCAGATGCAACTCGGCAAACGGAGACGAAATTAAACTCCTTCCTCCCGATTTCTCTTTCCTTCCTCATTCTGGCAGACGAGCCGGCGGGCAGGGAAAGGCCCAGAGACGCGAGTCAGCTGCCTCGCCCAGGGGCCTCCAGCGGTGTAGGGCTGGTGATGGGAGCTGCTGCCCGAGGGCTGGAGTTTTCACACGGGTAGGCGCCGAGCAGGGCGAGGGCCTGAGGGGCTGACTGCCCCCCGCCCCCCAGTGAGCAAAAGGCCTCCGAGGCTCTTCAACCCCGTGGTCTCCAGGGAGGACAGCCCTGCCGCCGCAGCTTCCTTCCAAGCATTGCCCCTTGGGCCGTTCCCTCCCAGAGCAGCCCCAGGGATGCTGTGGCAAACCCCTTTCCCTCTTCCTGCCCGCTGGCCGCGTTCCTACAGCCAGGCACAGCCAAAAGGCTTCTGGTGGCCCCGTTCTTCCCCGGACGGGCAGCTGCAGAGCCTTCGCCCTCGGCAGGCTCCCCCGACACCTGCGCCCCGTTTCCCACCACCCCGACTCTTCAGACCTGCCAAAGCCTTGGGGCTTCGCCTCCTGCATTTCCCCGAGGGCTCGTGTCCCCTTGAGTCGCCCCCTCCCCCCCCCGCCTCTCTGGCAACACGCGGGGAGAGGCCGCAGGCTTTGCCGAGACAGGGTGAGCACTTGGTGAGCTTCCTGGGGGGCAGCCCCCTCTGCCAGCCACATGCCGCTCCCCCCCCCCCGTGGTGGGGCCTGGCCTGCTCCAGGCCCCCGTGGCACTCTCCGAGCCCCGGGCCCCTCCCAACGGTCCACTCAGCAGAGATCCAAGGGCAGCGCATGCTCATGCTCAAGTCAGACACGCGGGCAAGGAAATTCAGGGCGGCTTGCCGGTCCTTTAATCACGGGGTAGGTGGTAAAAGCAGTGCCGGAGGGGATCCGGGCCAAGGATCAAAACGGAAAAATAACACACGAGGCAGCCGAGCTCCATTTCAGCAGTTCATTCGCCCTCCCACTCTTTGGCCACCCTCGTGATCCCACGGGGGGCCGCCTGTCGCCAGCCTGCCCAAAACAGATGTGGGGCGGGGGGGGATTTCCCCCAGCGCTCCACGTCACGGCCCCGTTTGGCCGGCCTCCCCAGCACCACCAGAGGAGAGCTCCTCCTCAGCTTTTGAGGACAGAGAAGGACGGGAGGGAATTTGAGGAGATAAATACGGAGGCGCTGGGGAGCCGGGGACGTTCAGCAGCGGAGAGGTACGGGACGGGGAGGGGGGGAGCCTTCCTAGCAAGCCGAAAGGAGTCCTTCTGAAATCGGGGGTGGGAGAGGCTTGGAGGAGACGGCAAGGCCTTCCTGCAGAGAATCCGCCCGGTGCTCCTCCCTCCGCGGGGGCCAGAAGGGATGGGGCGCAGCCGCTCTGGTCCTGCTGCTGTTGCTGCTCAGGGCAGAATTCCTCACTCCCGGACCGCTCACCGAGGGACCACCACCCCATGGGCAGCGATGGCGAGGGGCGGACGGGGAGGGAAGCAGGGACGCCTCGGAAGGGGAAGCTGCGGGGGCTCACGCTGAGCAGCCCCGCAGAGCCCGGAGGCCGAGGGCTGGCTGGATTCGAAGGGGCCCGTGGGGCCTTCAGAGCTTGAAGATTTCGTCCTCCTGGTCGCGGAGGGAGTCAGCGCGGGCGATCTTCGTGAGCGGCACGGGGCCGAGGATAGCCCGCTGCTGGGTACGGGGGGAAGGCTCGCTCTGGTAGGACGTGGAGGAGGAAGGCGCGTCCGCAAGGTCCGGATCCGTCTCGGAAGCCCTGGCGCGGGGAAGAGGAAACGAGAGAGGGAAACATCACATCACGGCTGTGCTGCGGCCACGGAGGAAGGCGGTCTGGGGGTTGCCCCTCGTCAAGAGCAGCCTCCTTGGACCCGATCCGGGCTCCCTCGTGCCCCGTCTCCTGCTTCCAAGAGGCTGCAGCAGCGGCCTGCAAGGAGGGCACTGAGAGGGGCAGCTGGGGAATGCGGGGCTAGACCTCTCGTCAAACGTTGCCGTCGGAGGAGCCAAGCGCTGGTGCAGAAGGGTCTGACTCAGTGCTGGTCTCCCAGCTAACCAGCCCCCAAGGGGCCACCAGTTTGGAACCAGACTCCGTCCCTCTTGCGACCGTCCTGCACACGACTTGCAGAAACGCATTGGAAGGGGAGGTTTTGGAGGCAAGGATGATGCGCCCATCAGCACTGGACTGACGCCGCTCTGGCCTTGTGCCCCCCCCCCCCCCGTCCAGATATGGCATCGCAGGAAACACATCAGGCAAACAAATACAATTGGAGCTACAGCGCCCTCTGGTGGCTGCAGATCAAAAGCGACAGCACTCCCAGCTACTGCTTTCCTCTTGCTGGAGCTCCTCCGCCCGGCCCCCGAAGGCGTTTAACAGGGCAAACTGCGCCCGGGTGGCTAGAGCTGGAATGCACAAGGCTGAGCTCCAGAACCTCTCTTCGAAGGCGGGGCTCAGCCTGGCAACGCAGGTAGAAATAAGGCCTTCGAGCATGTGCAGAGTGTCTTTGGCCAACTCAGGCACGCTCGCTAGCCCTCCTGTCCAAATTTAGGGTAACAGCGCCTGGCTTAGAAGGGACACCATTCAGCCTTGCCCAGCAGATGGAGTGCTTAACTTAGCAGAGGGAATGATCCAAGAGCCACCTGAGGAGCGTTTCCCCCAATGGGTGAGGGTTTTCACCACAAACTGCATGCGGGGGGCTCAGCCCTCTGCCAAGAGCATCTCGAGAATACGTAGAGTGCTTGAGTTAACTCAGCTGCCACGGTGCAACTTGGCTTACTTGCACTGAGCGCCCCCTAAACCCAACGTTCCACAGGCCCCCTTCGCTTGCCCCCCTTGCTCGTGGCTCATGGGGTTAACCAGGCCCAGCCAGAGAGGAGTGGAACTAGCAGGGAGGAAGACCCCGGTCGGACCAGCGAGGAAGGGCGTGGATGCACTCACACCTCCCGGAGTTTCTTGGCGGCCTGCTTCGTCCGGCGGATCTCCGAGTCCAATTTGAAGAGGAAGTCTGTGGCTGAGAGGTCGTGCTTTGGAGCAGGGCCCGAGGCCCCGTTCTTTCGTGGCTGCTTCTGCTTCTTGGTGGTCCCGGCTTGGCCAGTACCTGCTTCTTCTTTCTCATCCTTCTTCGTCTCCTCCTTCCCCTCCTCCTCCTCCTCCTCCTCCTCAAGATTTAACCCACTGGACAGCCCCTTGGGCTCCACCGGCACTGGGATGTAGAGAGTCTTTTTGAGGAAGATGGAGTCGTTGGTGTAGAGCCGGTTAGCCCTTTTGATCTGCTCTGTCTGCAACGGAATCGAAAGGCTGTTAGATGCGCAGGTGACCTATTTGGTTTTATGATTATTTTTTCAAAATAAGCAGAGCCGCAGGTTAGTCCTCATGAAGGCAAAATGATACAAAGCAACAAAGCTTACACATGTAGACTTGCCTCCTGCATCCCATGTCCAACAAATGCCGAGCAGGCGCTTTTTGGAGGTCCCTGGAAGGGGCACAGAAGCTGAACCCTCCCCTTATTATTTGCCCGCTCGGACGAGGCATCGAAAGGTAGTCTGGCTCGGGAGAGGGAAGCCCCATCAGCAACCACGGCTCCGAATTTTGCCATGAAGGGGTGGCCTGCCTGCCACAGGAAGGGGCACAGCCTCCAATTTAGATAGCTTGGTTATTACCAACCCCGCCCCCCCACAGCCAAACAAACCCTTCTTTGCTTTGATTGCCACGGTGAGTTTTGCAAGCTAAGAGTTAGTTGCGCAGAGTTTGAAGCAACATCTTCTCTTTTCTCTCTCATTCTCTGTCCCAAACCATCCGCAATATGCGTTGTAGTTTTTTTTTTTTTTTAAACCAGGGAGTTACTGCTCTGAAAACAGCCCTGGAGCCCTGGGACAAAAGATCACTTTAAACAGGTTGGTGGTGGCAAGAACTGTGTTGTGTAAATACGAAAGGAACTGCTGTGAAATGGACACCGAGTTCAAGAGATCACTTCCAGAGTGACACACTAGACTTTCCCAATCTGGCATACTCCAGACCGGTTAAATGCCCACCTCCTAAATTCCCAGCCAAGTGGAAAGAACTGCCAGCCTGGCATCGTGGTTAAGAGCACTGGACTGGGGAGACCATCTCCACACAACCACAAAACCCACGGGGTGCCTGAGCCAGTCGTGGACTCTTCCCACTGTGGGTTACTCAGCAGAGGGAAAAGGCGAGGGCTGCCTGGCAGAATAATTCTTTTAAAAACGGAGTCCCTGCACATGTTTGGGGGGAGGCCCCTCTCAAGCCAGTAAAGCCTCCACCCTGAAAGGCACGCTACCTCAGCGGCCCAAATGCTAAGCAAGCAGCCAGAGGGCTGCGCTCTGCACATCCCTGACGGGCAGGGCACCCGTGTTAAAAGGGATGCTGGTCTCAGCGGAGTTGGGCTGCCCACCCCATGCGGATGGCTCTTTTGAGGCGTGGCGTTCACGATAAATCTTCCCCGCACGACTTCATGCCTCCAGTTCCAGGAGTGATGCAGCCAACTGGGGCTCCTTCAAAGCAAGCAAAGAAAAGCAACTCTGCTCATGTACAAAAACACCAGTCCTTCCTCTTCCTCGAAAAGAATCCAAGGTGGCGCAGCCCAGGACAAAGATGCACCAAAGCAAATTCCGGGGCTTTGCTTCTGTTCTGCATGGTCATTCGAGGGGGGGGGGTCACTCCAGCAAGCCTGGTCACTTCTGCCTCATGGATTGAGCGCATGTACATACGAGTGCCATTGAAATGCACACAGAAACAGCCGTCTGGAATACGCACAACACATCTTGCTCGCCTGCACCTTGAAGGCCACGTAACGTCCTGCCTTCCCCACCCGCCATGTAAGCCCGGCAGCCTCACCTGGCAGACTTACCGTGACTCCGTACCTGACCGCCAAGCCCTGGAGGGTGTCCTCCGGCTCCAGCCGATGCTCCATGCGCCTCTCGCGGGCTGGCGAGGTGACAGATTTCACGAGGCTGCCATAGGATCGGGTCCGGCTTCCTTGCAGCAGTCCTGCCCCGCCGGGGAGGCCTTGCTTGGAGGGGGAGGCCATCCTCCCCACGCCACCCCGGGAGGCGAGGGCGCGCTGCGGCCCCTTACCTGCACCCCCGGCCCGCCAGCGCGCGTCCACGCCGCCGCGGACGCTGGGGTGGCGCTGCGGCTACCAGCACTTGCTGCCCCCCGGGCGGCCCCCGGCAAAGGGCGGCATCCCCGGATCGGGTCCGCGGGCTCCTCCAGGGTTCGCTCGCGTGCCCGCTGCCCGCAACTTCGGCGTGGCCGCCCGTCCCACAGCTCCCACCGCAGCCCGGTCTCCGCTTCCCCCGGGCCCGCCCGCCCCGCCCGCAGAGCCCCCAGTGGAGCCTCGCCTCGCCTCCCGCTCCCGCCCGGGACCCGCCTGCGGGACGAGCCCCCGAACCTGTCAGCGGGGAGAATTCCGGGCAGTTTAACCGAGCCAGCTGGCCCGGCCCCGCCCCGCCCCGCCCCGCCCGGCCCCGCGCACAGCCTCCCGGGAGCTGTAGTTTTTATCACGCAAGGCGATGCCTGCCTCCTCCCGCCGCTTTTTTCACCCCTAAAAAGACAGGCAAGCAGAGGAAAGTATTGCGAGTCCCTGGGGAGACTTTGTAGCCACTTCCACACGTGCGTGCAAAAGCAGACACGGCGCGACCCTGCCTCCACTCAGGGGCCGGGTACTGGGGGCACATCTCCCATCGTGCTCCGCGCCAGAGGAGACCGTCCCTCTCTCAAAGCACGACGGGAGTTGTAGTCTCTCCCCCGCAGACATGCCCAGACTGATGAGGACTGTCTAAAAGTGGAGGAGCACCGGGGGGGGGGGGGTCCCTTTGCATTTTGGGAAATGAAGCCTCGGGGATGCTGGGAAGTGCGGTCGCGCCCAGCGAGCTTGTTGTTCTCCAACTCCAGCAAGGAAACCCTTGAGCGCGGCTCTGGGGACGCCCGAGTGCCGCCCGGGCACTGCGAACTCGGCGGGCTGCAGGCGTTGGGAAATGCGTGGGATGCTGGGAAATGTAGTCCTGGGAGCGAGAGCCTGCGCATCACTTCCGCCCGCTCCGTGCTCCTCCGCTGATTGGTGGTGGGGGCGGAGGAGGAGGAGGAAGAGGAAGAGCTGGGAGCCCGGCGCCCGCTGGCACTTGGTCGTGCGAAGGGGCCGCGTTCAGGGGAGCAGCCTGCGTGGGCGGTGTGGGGAGATGAGCAGGGGGCCGCTTGCTGTCGGGGGCCATGTCTTTCAAGAGGGAGGGAGACGATCCCAGCCAACTCAATGTACTCAAGGTGAGTGGAGGGGAGGGGGGCAGCCCGCCCCATCCCGCAGCCCCCTGCCCCTGCAGGGCTCCTTCGCTTGGAGAGGCAGAGGCTGGCGCTGCAGAGTGTGATACCACCCAAACCCCGTACGGCGCCCATCGTGCGCAAACACATACTCCGTGCAATGCTCTGCACATGCTCTTCTTTCTCGAGCAGGCGGGGCACTCTGCACATGCTCCCTGCTGCACCCTGACACGCTTCCGCAGAGCTGACACCGGACCTTTCTCCCAGTGTCAGCCCGCAGGATATGGCGGGTGCTTTGTGCAGAACAGCCTCTAGGTTCTGAGTGCGCATAGAGTTAGTGATGCACAGGGAGACGCCTGCCGCCTGTGCATGCTCAGGGGCTCCATTATGTCAGCCTGGTGGCTCTTGCTGGGGTTCAGCATCCTTTAAATCAGCATGGCGCATTTTGCCAGTGACTGATAGTTTAATGTATTTGCTCTCTTTCTTGCCAGTGACCGACAGAACGGCAGAAACGGCTTCCGTCTGTGAGCGGACGGACAGCACCCCGGAGGGGCCTCTCCGTTCTGGTGCCTTCGCTCGCTCGCACACCAGTGCTCAAATTCTGCTTCTTTTCTTTCTGTGTCCCACCTCTGCCACCAGAAAAGGAGAGTTGCGGACCTTCTGGCAAATTATATCCCTGAAGATGAAGCCATTCTGCTGAGGGACGGCAGGTCAGAGTCTTGCAGCGAACACAGGCGGGGGGAGAGCGATACACATGTGCAGACCTCACATGCTTTGCACAGTTTCAGAGTCGTGGGCAGCTGGGTGGCCTGAGCCAAGGTTCTGGTCCAAAGAGAGCCGGTGCAATGTAGTACCTTCAACTGGGGCTCGAGAGATCTGGGTTTATTTACATGAGAAGCGCTTGGCACTTCCAGTTAAAGGAGAGGCGCTGGGGTACAGCTCTAATCAGATGCTCTTTGCCAATTGCAGATATGCCTGCACCGTGTGCTTCCACAGGCCAGTGTTTGACACTCTTGACATGCTCACAGTCCACCGCTCAGGGAAGAAGCACCTAGCCAGTAAGCCCTGCTTGGATCTTAACATGCATGTGATTCAGTTCTCAGACTTGCTTCTGCAGATGGTCAGAACACCCAGTGCAGATCATACTTCAGATGCATCCTGTAGCTCCGCATTGTGATTGGCCGTCTTAGAAGGACTGCCGGGCTGCTTTTGCTGGACACTGTGCCCAAATATGTGGAAATTTGGGCTGCTTTGTTAGATCTTAATAATAGCAGGATATCTTGCTGTACATAAAACTGAAAATGGTCCGCACTGCATGTGTGTATGATAGATTTAATTAAATCTTATTTTCAAGTATTCCCTCTTTCTGCTCTAGCTTTGATTTCAAAATCCACAATTTAAAAAAAAATGAGAATATAGAAGTTCCCTTACAGGGGAGTTGAATGAGATTATTTTAATTATGCCTTTGAACTGCTTAAAACTCTCACTAACTGTTGTGAGTGATAATAATAAAATCATTAATTGATATTTTTCATTTCATTGATTGATTTCCTTTTTTTTTGTTGGTGCAGACAAAAACACATACTTTCCTAAATTACCCTGTGTTGTAAAAAAGTATATAATGGAATTGAATTTTAGAAATTATATGCTGTTGTAGTGCAGTAACAGAAACATGAAATTCCACTGAATGTGTTTTTCAGTGGTTTCACTTTTCTGTTACTGGATTGTGTTTGCTTTTAATTTCCTATCTTATTAATTGTATTCATTACTGTTATGTGTTGTTATTCATTGCCATGAGCACTGGGAGAAGAGCATTTGCTAAACCTCACTTCCATTTTCTCTTGGGCAGAGCCTGCCATTTCTTCACCCGTATCTGTCTGGGATGGTCTCCCCCGCCAGCTGGGCTTCTGTGCTCTCAGGGATGCCCTCAGCAGCTGACAGGAAGAGGTCTTGACTGGCAGGAAGTAAAAAGTCACCCTGCCTAGGAGAAATGATGGCCATGTGCCTAGTGTGATCGTGCAGCCAGGAAGGGAAGGGGGGGCAGAGCGGAGGAAGCTGAAGGTCCAGGAAGGGAGTGGCTGAGAAGGGAGGCACCCAGCTACCTTGTCTGGCAGTTCTTTGGATACTTTTCAGCATGTAGAGTGGCTTTATTCCTCCATGGAACTGTCATGTAAGGTAGTTCCATTTTCCAGAGGAGGAAGACTGAGGCAGAGAGAGGATGGATGGATGGAGGGAGGGAGGGATGAGAGACCACTTCCTCCAGACTGCCCAAGGAGTCTGAAGAATCTTTGGGTTTCTGAATGCATTCGCCGCTTTATGTACTGCAGCACTCTGGAATTTCTCTCTCTCTGTAACAGGTTTACAGAAGTTCTATGGGAAGAAGCGTTCCCTTGAGAACGAAGTTCAGAAACGGCACCACCAGGCGTACCTCCAGGCAGAGGAAGCTGGCGCACAGGTAGGGGCCAAGGGCTTCCGCACCTCTAATGCCCGCTGCTGGCATGGCAGCCTCAGTGTCGTCTGGTTTTCCTGACGGCGCACCGTGTGTGTGCTGATTCATACGTAAGTTTCACCGAGCTGCGAGGGGCTGTTAGCATCGCTCGGTGCATCGGAGGCCCCATCAGGCTGCCTGTTCTTTTTCCTGAAAAGTCGTCGATATTTTTCACAGCAGCTCATCAGCCTGAACTTGCCAAGGGAAGCTTCTCCTACCCTGCTTCCAACTCAGGTTGGTCTCGGTCAGTCTGTCCGCAAGAGGACCGCTGACTCCCAGTCCCGCTTCGTTTGCCAGAAGGTTGGCACTGACCCGGATGCCGTGGGCTGCAGCACCATGAATGGGTGGTGACCTCTGGGTTTTGCTTCCTCAGGTGACCCCAGGGCCTGCTCCTTTGTTGGTGCAAACGAAGAAAATTGCACAGAGTGCATTGCTCAAAACCGCTCCCTATAACAGCTGCTGTCAGCGGAGCAGGTAACTTCATTGCCCGAACCGTTTTCTGGATGGCGAATATTGGCACGTCCATTTAGCGTCGTTTGCCTGGAGAGGTGTGCAGGGTGGGCGGGGGCTGACGGGGGTGCCAGCTCTTCCGGTTGGAGGGCCAAATCCACTTTCGGAGAAGCTCTTGGAGGCCACACGCCAGTGGTGGGTGGGTGCATGTGGCCAAACGGGAGGCCAAGATACCACCGTCGTTTGGCTTAACACTGAAAAAGGTTTCACCCTTTTGGAATGGAGAAAATGTGCTCAGGATGGGAGACCAGTACAGTTGGGAGCTGGGGGACAGGGAGGACGAGGAGGAGGCGAGGTCGCCACCTGAGGATGCCTGGAGGGCCCTGTATTGTTTGGAACAGGGAGGCCAAGGGCAGCACCGATCCCAGTCCGGCGAGGACGCCCTCTGGCTTCAGAGACGCTGAGGAAGCGGCGCTGTCAGAACCATGGAATTCCGCGCCGGTGGGTGAAGATCGAGCCGTCGGGGTGGAAAGCGCTCATCCTGCCAGCTTGCCCAGGCCTACGGATGTAAAAGCAGGTAGAAAGCTGTTTTCAAACATTTTCGATTTGGCCGGGAGGTTGTAACCCTTCTCCACTTGCCACAGTTTGGTGGGGGTGGTTTGACTAAGGAAACGTAGCCATTCTCTAGACGCAGCAATTTTGTAAGATGGCACTTTGCTACACGGCGATGAGTGTGGGCCGCTTCGCCCAGCCAGGCTGGCTCTGCCACTCGGCTGAACGACACAGCCGCCCCAGGCAGCCAGTGTGGGGAGGGGCAGCAGGGTCCCTGTTGCTGCACCCCATGAGCAGGGAGAAGACGGCCTGCAGCGTTCGACACTCTTGATTCCAGAATCCCAGGAAGAATCCGCTCTAGGGAAGAAGCAGCGCCGTAAAAGGAAAGCCCCTCCGGGCGCAGCAACCCCTTCCGGGCCTGATCATCTCACCCCAGAGAAGCGGCAGGCTCTGGAACACTACCTGAGGCTGAAAAGGTGGGTGCAGGTCAGCCTGCTTAGGTCACAGAATCTGAATGTGAAGGTCCAGAGGCCTAAAAGACACTCTTAAATTAAAGCGTCAAGCGTCAGTCAGTTCCTCCCCTCAGCGATACTGAACAGGAAGCAATAAAATAAAACTGTTAGCAGAATCACGAAGGGCTGCAGCTCGCATCCACTGAATGGAAAAGGTCCCACTTTCCTCCTCAGAGTTCTTCAAGTTACGGGTGCAAAAGAGTCGTGTCTGACTCCCTGGGGAACAAGCAAGGTAGCCTGGTCTGTCTCTGCTTCAGGCTGCTTCATATGTCTGGAAGAGGAATGTTTTACATAATGTTGCAGGGGACCTCTGCTGAAGAGAGTGCTGAGAGCCAGTGCGGTGTCGTAGTTGAGAGCCTGGGACTGGGACTCAGGCGATCCGGGTTCGAGTCCCCACTCAGCCATGGAGCCAACTGGGTGACTTTGGGCCAGTCACAGACTCTCAGCCCAACCTGCCTCACAGGGTTGTTGTTGTGGGGATAAAATGGAGGAGGAGAATGCTGTAAGCTGCCTTGAGCCCTTTGTAGGAAAAAGGCAGGATATAAATTGAAAACAAAACAAAACAAAAACCCAGCACATACTTGTGGATAAACGTACAGATCTCAGTAGTAGTCTTGAGTGGTACTGCACTGTATTAAATGTGGTGTGGATCTTCCATTTTGAATTCCTTTTCCAGAAAAGCTGCACCTTGGCAGCATTAAAAGGCTTTACTGTGGAAACAGTCTTATTTCTACAGCCAGTTATTCCAGGAAAAAAGCAACCCCCTTTTTAAGTGTTAATATCTAGCACAAGCACATTAACCTTTTAATGCTTTTATATTGTTGCAACTGACTAATTCATTTTGAAAAGGTTTTGTTTGGTGTGCTGGTTGAAGAGTCGGTCCTGCACTGTCTCTTGATTTGTCACTGTATGGATTTTAGGTGTGTGTGTTTTCCCCTGTGCACCACTCTGGATCATGTGCAGATGAAGGCTGTTTTATCCGTCTGAGAAATTAAGCAAGCTGCATGTCTCTCCCTCCCTTCTCTGGTAGCTCTGGCTGGGTCCAAGACGGCTCTGGCAAGTGGGTTAAGGACGAGAATGTGGAATTTGACTCAGACGAAGAAGAGCCTCCGGCGCTGACGCTTTCTTGACCCCACGGCTGGTTCCTTCCTGAGGCGGCGGCCTTGAGAAGCTCCGCAGACGGTGCTCCGTGCCCGTGCGTCATCAGCTGGGCACAAGATGCCCAAGAGCTAAAGAGCCACGATTGTGTCGCAGAGTCAGGGCGGTTAATATGTAGGAAGATGCGCTGGGTGTGCCGGTTTCATGGCCACATGCTGCTTCCGGCTGCATCTCTGGGGTGTGGCAGGGACTGGGGGAGACCCCCAGGTCTGTTCTGGGAGCACAGAAATGGGAACTGAAGGAGGGGGGCGAGGCAGCGTGGGCTCAAGCCGTGGGTCTGAGCTGGGCCTCCCGAGGTGGGGAATGCAGCCACGGAGCTGTCGTTCCTTGCTTTCCCTGCGGAAGATGCGAGTTCCATCTTCGGGTGCATCTAGGGAAGACCGCCGTCTGAAGTTCTTCTCATACCAGCCTGCCAGTGTCTTAAGATCTTCTGTTGAGTCCCACCTCGAAATCTCCTCTCCAGCAGACGAGCCGGAGGCGCAGGGGTGCTCTGCAGTGCTTCCTGCTTGCATTGGTGCAGCCGAGTCCCTGGGAGTGAGTTGGAGGGGGAGAAAGATCTGTTTATTTGATGCGTTGGGTTCTGCTACAGGTACGGGTCGTTTTGATTATACAGTATTTATCCATTTGGGTAAATTCAAGCTATCCTGGTATCCTTGAGGTGGACTGTACTTCGGAAATATTTTCATTTATAAAAAACCTTGCAGAACGGCTGTGGCGCCACATAATAAACTGCACTAGCAGCAGCCTGGGCATCCTGATCTGGGACAAGCACCGCTTCGGGCCGCCGTTTTCCTTCTCCGAAGCCAGGGAGGGCAGAGTGCGCACTGGCCCCGCTTGCCAGTGCCTCTGGGGCCTCGCGCATGGGGCCGGCTTCCCTAGGCTTGCCTGGGAGCGTAGCGCGAGGGAGGTGTGCGGGCCCCTTCTCGGCTGGGCCAGACGCCTCAGCGCACTGCCAGCCTTTCGAGTTGCTGTTTCCAGGACTCATGACTTTCCCCTTCTCCCAGTTGTTTTTTTCGTCGCCAGCTGTCGGTGTCAACCAGGGAGAGCAGAGTCGATGGGGAAGGGAGGACGGCTGGGTGACAGGCGCCACCCTGGAGCTGGTGACGCGCGCGTGACGTGTGGGCCTGGATCGATGTGGGCAGAGGAGGAAGGGGGAAGGAGCGCCTTACTCCGGAGCAGGACCCGTCTTCCCCCTCCTCCTCCTCCTGGGACCCCTTCCAGGATTTCATGCAACCCGAGCCCCTTGGTCTCCATTTCATCTGCTGATTCCCTGCAGGGGGGTATAAATACATTGGCGGGGGGGCTTCTTTGCCTCTGCCGCGCCTCCCCTCCCACCACCTGCTTGGAATAATTATCCGCAGTGAAGGCAGCTCCTTCTGAGATGCCTGATTCGAGGCTGAACATGCTCCTAGAACGTAAAAGCCAAGGTTAAGAGTCCCGGAGCGTTATTACTGCTTCATTAATCACTGTGAAGGGAGCGCAGTGGGGGGGCAGCGGGATCCGGGTGTTGCCCAGAGGGGCCGCCGTGCAGGCGGAGGAGGGCAGGCCCGTGGCGAGGTGCGGCGAGCAAGCACCCCTTCCCTTGGCCCAGGCTCTAACTCGGCCTCCCCTAACCTGGTGTTCTCCAGATACGTTGGGCGCAGTGGCACAACGGGGTCTCCATAGGCTGCCCCCTAGTGGTGCCCAGCACATTTGCAACAATGGCGTCCACTTGAAGGGCCACGGCCGTCCTCGAGGCAGGTCTTGCCCTCGGTGGGCCTTCGGCCCGCGGGTTGCAAGGCAGGCCCTTTGGAAGGCCTCATCACGCCGCAGGACCGAGCCAAAGAAGGCAGGCAGCCGCTTGGACATGACAACCTCCGGCATCGCAGACTGCTTTTGTGACTAATCCGCCCGTTGCGCCCATAAAACCCCAAATGACTATAAAACCCCAAACCTGTCATCCCTTTGGCCCGTGGGCACTCTGGACAAAGGCCAGCTGGCCTTCACCGTTGCCAAAGTATGTATGTTGACTTGCCAGGCCCAAACGGGTACCCTCAGCTTCCATATTTCCACGTACACGTATGCACACAACACTGCTGGGGGAAGTGAATTCGATCCTTCCACTGCCTGGACTGGCTTGGTGTTCTGCTTCCATGGGAGAAATAGATCTTTGCCTCCCTCCTAGAACAGCTAAATGCCATTCTGGGGAATGGAGGTACTTCTCAGGATCCAGGCTTCCCCATGTGGCGTCCAGCCAAGAGATATTAGCCTCTGGAGAGACGGAGGTTTCTTCTGGAGAACTCTTTTGTGCGGATTTGTGCGAAATCTTTTGTGTGGAAAACCTCCAGGCCCCTCTCTTGTGATATTTCCTTGGCATTGCAGGGCGCATCGTGCAGCCACTTTTCCTTTTGTAGAAGCAAAAGCTCAGATAGAATTTACGAGACCGCGACATGGGGCTTGGGGTGTGGGGAGCTGTTCCTTCCCACCTACTCATCTTTCCAGAATATCCTGTTGGTTCCAGGCCAGAATTAATGAGATGGAGCAGATCGGTCTGTTCCGTAACGGGTGCGGTGGGCAGTCAGCCCCGCTGCCGTGTGGGGCGGTGCACAAACCGCAGGCTGACACGGCACGGCGGTGCCGCCATCTTGGCTGTGTCGCGTGATGGGGGAAGGGCTCCGGCAGGCCACAGGGCCTGTGCAGGGCCAGCCCATGGAGCTCAGTCCAAGCTGTGGACTGTCCAGGAGAGCAGCTGCAGGAAGAGGGGGTATTTCCACGTCCGTGTGGTCGGCCGCCATCAAATGCATGATTAGGTCAAGGCATGGGACCCGAAGGAGGATGCGTGTGGGCCCAAGTGGAGCTGGGTCTATTTGGATCATAAGATGATGGTGAAGAACACGAGCTACAATTCTGGAAGCATCCCATCCAAATATCAGCCCAACTCGGCCGTTCCCAACCAGGGGCTTAGGAGCACAACTCCCATAACTGGCCAACCATCTGCGATGGCAGCAGTTCCCACTCAAAACATCTGGAGGGTACCAGGTTGCGGAGGCTGGGGATAATGGACACGCTTTTCTGAGCCGCTGTCAGGATTCCTGAGGGAATCGACAAAATGTGCTCTGACAGTGCCAAAATGCTAATTAGCAGCAGCAGCAGTGGGCCAGATTAGGACATGCTTTCTTGCAGGCACAGGAAAAAAAAGGGTGGGTGAAGTTGTATTTGCATGATCTGGAGAGAATCCATGCACTTCCAGGCTGGGTTGAACATGGCAGATTCCCCTGGCTGCCTAGCTTGTTGGTTCCCAAAAACCTGACTGGGGGACGGACGGACAGACAGACAGACAGAGGATGTCAGCTACATAAGTGCCTAAATCATTTAATAATAGTAGCTGATCCAGGGAAGACGGGAGGATTACAACTGTCTTTGGTCCGTGGGGAAGAACAAAGTCAGTCTGGCCCCCCGGCAGTATCTCTCCAAGGTCCCTGTTTGCAGGGACCTCCTCCCATGAAAAGATGGATTCGGAGCAAGCAAGGACCTGAGATGCAAGAGACCGCCGGCATGCCGGTCGGAGAGGAAAACGGCAGGGCAGATCTCTTCGGGCGCACTGGGAGAAAGTCGGCGATCGAGCTCCGGCTTCGGGAGACGGCTGGAGCCCAGGCCAGGAAGATCGTGGTTAGGCACGTGAGGGGGCGGGGGGTGCTGCGGGGGCAGCCGCACGGTCATTATGTTTTCTTCTGCTTGCGGCCTGCAAAATGAGAGGAGAGCGGCTGTGAGGAGCAGCAGAACGACCTGGCTGGGAGCTGGGATGAGCCGCTGGTCCTGGCGGGGGAAGCTGCGCCCAGCTGCCCTCGAAGAGCAGCGCCCTGGGTGCTCTTGTGTGTGGACGGTGCTGGAGGGGCTGGTTCGTTAGCGAGGAGTGACGCGCTTGCACTGTCCATGCAGGAGGCCACAGGATTAACGGGGGACGGGTGTCTGCTAGGGAAGCGGGTGCCCATGGGGACTTTTTGTCTTGGGCGCACATAAACACCTAGAACATCCTGGCCTGTTTCAACTTGCTTTTTGAATACTGCTAGGCAATCTTTCTGCAGTTTGCCCTACTCAGAGGCCTAGAGATGGCAGGCTGGTCGGGTCCACGTTGGCTGCCTGTGAGCACATTCTGCGCCGGGCAATTTGTTCCGGGCGCTAGAACTGAGTGAGCTCACAGGTATTTCACACAAACATCACGCCGGTTGCTTCGTTTCAGCAGCCAGATTTAGGCCGGTGGGGCATTCGGGCCTTGCTCTGTTACGGGGAGTCTGAAATCTCTGGCAATCGAATGAGAAGCAGGCAGAGCTCTGCCAGCAGATCCTAATGACTTTCTGCCTAATTAATGGCTTGGAACCGGCGAAGCTGCAGCACTTACGTAATTCGTTGTTCTTGGTTATCGCAATCGAAGCTCTGGCCCTTGGTCCCTGCTGCGTAAAGTGGTACCCAAAGCGGATGACAGAGGGACAGTTCTCCAACATGGCGGCCATCTCCATCTCCACCGAGTCCCCCAGCCGCTGGCGCTGCGAGGGGAAGGGAGAGCAGTGAGGAGGCGAGGAGGAGCCGGCGACGGCAGAGGGCAAGGCTGTGCGGGGTGCCGCGTGTGAAGGCTTCACCATGCAGAAAGTACCACAGGCTCCACACGTCTCCACCCGCTGCAAAGCGACGGCCACCTAACCTGGTTGTCCACCTTGAGCTCGCACAGCGCGGTGTTCTCCTTCATGGCTTTGATCACCTCCATCATCCCCGTGCCAGTGATGAAGTTGGACTCAATATTGAGGCTCTGCAGGGTCTTGTTCTCCTTCAGCATCTCGGCGATGGCCTGAAAGGCGGGCAAGAGAGGCGTCCTCGTCACAGGCTGCGAGGAGCGATCCCGAGCGGGCCAGATCTGGGGCTCTGCTGCCTTGCCCCGATCCTCCAAACTCCCCGGATCCTCCAAACTCCCCCAAATGCTCTGGCCTGCAACCCCCCCGATCCTCCAAACTCCCCCAAATGCTCTGGCCTGCAACCCCCCCGATCCTCCAAACTCCCCCAAACTCCTCTGATCCCGCAGCATTAGCTCTGCCAGCAAAGCACACGGAAGGTCACCAGGGGCTCATTCATGGACTAGTATCGTCCTGGTTTTGCATGTACCCGCGCCAGGGCTTCGGCTCCGGCCGAGGGGGCGAATGTTCCCGCAAGAGTGCCCCAGAGGCATGGGCAAAAATCTTACGTGTGCCACTGGGTCATTACTCCGGGTCGCCACCAGGCTGAGCTTCTTCACGTGGGTGTTGCTTTTCATGGCTTCGCAAAGGTCTTTCAGGGTCTGAATGGGAATGACCTGGGGAAAGGAGAAAGGTAGTTGAGTGTCACAATTTTTAAAGGAGCTCTCTACTTGCGTGACCGGCTAAATCAGAAGTGCAGAACTTCAGCCCCTGAGCCAAACCTTTCCCCTCAGATTGTGCCTCTCGAGGTTTAATGTAGGGCTTGGCGCTAAGAGAACCGAGGTGACGAAATGCCAGTTCTTCTGCATAAGGTCACAAGTGAATGAAAGAGCAGGGCTTCCGGGTGCTGCGCAGATGCCTGGGAAGAGGCACCCCCCCACCCCCAGGGAAGGAGGAACCTCTTCGGAACTGAGACTGGGCACATGGGGAACACCTGTCCAGACACCTGGCACCTGGAATCTAGATCCTTTGAAAGTGCATTTATTTTTAAACAATGTTGTTTTAAGACGCATTACCAAGTTCATAAGGGGTGCCTTTTTGTTGATCATTATTAGCAAATCCTCCCATCCCTTACGATGTTTAGATTTTTGTGGTGCGATCCTATGCACATTTTGCCAGCAAAACTGCCCTACACTCCCAGGGTACCCAAGCCCCAGCTGGGAATATCCATCCAATTACGCCCAAGGTAGAAGCTTGTGCATTTTAACTATTATTGCGGGTCTAATTTTGGTGTCATTTGTACTTTTTTCACTGCTCCTGGGAAAATCAAACGGTGACTTTCTGCTCAAAACGGCCCCAGCAGTTCTCCTAATGTAGCCTCTAGATGTGTTGGGCTGCAATCCCCATCAGCCCCAGCCCACGAAGCCGATGGCCACATGAGCCAGGGGCCAAGAGGGCAGCCTTCCCACACATGCAGAAGCCCCCTGGCAGCTCTGCCAGTTCCTTTTCCCGAGCAGGATGGGCCTGATCCTGCCTCTGCTTGGTGCAAGATCTGTGCCAGCAAGGCATCAAAACAGGGCCGTTTCCCCCATGTTTATTTACAAACTTTACAAACACTTTACAAACATTTTAATTTAAGGTTATAATTTAATGTTTGTATTTTAATTTAATATATTTGTATTTTAACTTAATGTTGTGAGCTGCCCCGAGGCTTCGGCGAATGGGGCGGCATAAAAATGTCTTAATAAATAAATAAATAAAATGCCCAGCCTCCACAGCCTCCTGGGACTCAGCACTGACCTTGATGTTATTCAGGTTCACTTCCTCAAGATCTCTGTCGTTGCTCTTGATTTTTGCCAAGGTCTCTTCCACATTGGTGGGGTTGGGCGGCTCATCCGGGACGGGCTTGTAAGAATCCGGCTTCACCACACCTGATGGGGGAGAGAGAGAGCACAGTAGAGCATGGAGGAGGGCTTTCTCTGCGGTGGCGCCCCACCTATGGAATGCGCTCCCCAGAGAGGTCCGCCTGGCGCCGTCGTTATTTGTTTTTCGGCGCCAGGCCAAGACCTTTTTATTTAAGCGTCATTTTAATTGTTAACAGTATTTATTTCATCTGGCCAGGGCGACTTCTTTTATATTGTTATTTATTTTATCTTGTTATTTTTATATTGTCACTTTAGTAATTTTCTTCATATTGTGAGCCGCCCCGAGGCTTCGGCGAATGGGGCGACATATAAATGTCTTAATTAATTAATTAATTAATTAATAAACATGGCGGAGGAAAGGCACACACCAGGCCCCTGGCACTTGGCATCAGTTCCCTGGGTATACGAAGGCCACAGAAGCCACTAGCCTGCAAAGGACCACTGGGCTACTGGACTTCTACTCAGGGCACAAAGGGGGGGGCTTCCCTCCTCCGGCGGCCCCCTGAGCTCCAACAGTGGCAGCAGGGACAGAACACCCCCCTTCCCCAACCCGCACCCGCCTGCATTTGACCCGGAGTCGCCTGGGGGGGGGGGCTGAGGTGGTGCCACCTGTATGCGAGATGAGCATGTGTGCTGCGTTTTTATGGGGTGTGTGGATCCCTGATCAATGCGATCGGAAGGGCTGGATGAAAATCTCTCGGCGAGCATGCGCGCCCCTTTAAAAGCAGCGTGGCAGGTAGAAATCCAAATGGCACAATGAAGCTGTGAGATGCTCCGTCTGAAAGCAAAGTCAAACTGCATTGCTTTTTGCAGCCGTTGGAGGAGGCTTGCTGGCAGGAACGCGGGCCGGACCCAACCGAGGCAGCTTCCTCGTTTCTGTGACACGGACAAGCTGGCCTACGCAAAAGGGCTTCCGTCATGAGTGCTAGAAACTTGCAGTGGCCTGCACAGTCATGGCGAGCCGCCCTGCCAGCCGCGGCCGGCCCTGCGCTGAGACGCGGATCGGGGTTCACTCACTGTTTATGCCTTCGGTGTTGGTGATGTTGCCGCTGCAAATGGCGTCGTAATACTGCTTGTTGCTCATGAGGGTGTACATGCCCAGGATGGCTGCAAGGAAGCAGAGCGGAGGCCGGATTAAAAACAAAGCAGGAAGATCATTAGCCAGAGTGCCACCTGTTCATCAGTTCCTCTGGTTTGCGCGAAGAGGGCTAGAGCGCGGGGGTTTTACTGCAGCTGCCGCGTTCTCCAGAAAGCCTTTCCAAAGCAGAGTTTGGCCCTCTGCTGAAAGAAGTCGGGGGTCAGACTAGATGGCCCGGGAGGCCCCTGCTGACTCGCTCTGTTTCTAAGTACAACACCCTCCATTTTAGAGCACGGGCGATTCATTTGCCACGCGCTGCAACATCAAGGGCTGCTTCGCTTGGTATCTGGGCTGTGCCTCCTCCTGGCTGACACAGCGTCTTGGCCGAATTATTCTCTGCATGCAGCAAAATACCACATCGGGAGAAGATTGTGCCTGAAATTGCCGGCATGCTTGTTTTCCACTTGCAAGGCTGGTTTTCGTTTTTTGCTTTTTTGGCTAATCTTCACCTGTCTTCCCCATGGCCATCCTGGCTGGGGCTAATGGGAGTTGAAATCTCACCCCTCTGGGGCACCAGCTCAGGGAAGGCCATAAATGGGAGCATCCCAGTTTTAAAATGCTTCTCCATCCCCTGGGGATGGAGAGCTGGAGCGTCAGGGAAAGGGGCTGCCCCAGGTATTCCTCCTTGTACAGGGCAGCGGAAGGGGAGCAGCTGCCCTCCCTTATTATACCCCCCCCCCCGGGAAATGCGAGTGAAACGGAGTTTCGGGGAGGGGAATCACGGGCAAGGAGCACGTTGTGGGCACACTAACTTCCTGGAGCATCGCTCCGGTTCGGCAGGGCCGGCTCTGACACTGGCGGTGGGGAGGGGTTTCCTGCTCCAGCCGCTCTGAGCCACGTCAGGCTCCGATTCCCACAACTCAGCAGCTAAGCAGAGCGGAGCCTGGCCTGGGGCCAGGCAGAGACTAAAATCAGAAACCTCGCACTGTGGTGCTATCAGCTTACATCTGCTGGGGAGCCGTTATGGCAGGTGTAAGCACGTCGGGTGTTGGCCGGGAGGTGAGGCCGGGAGACCTTCCCAGGGTTTGGCCGCTCAGTGCCGAGACGGGGAGGCCCACCACACGGGCAACACAGCTGGCCCCGGCCAGGATTCTGCCTCTTATCATTGGGGGGGGGGGGTCTGTCCCCAGATTTCGAGAGCTGAGCTCCATTTCCATCCCTGCCCCACTAAAAAAAAGTATGATGCACCTCTCAGTCTTCCATCCCAAATTGGGCTGCTGGCACAGCAACCATCCCCCGAAATGCAACCCCTGAAGCTACTATTTGACCAGGGAAGCGAAGCCATTGTTAGCTGTGTGGAGGGGAGTCATGCAGAGACACGGCGGGCAGCCTCATCCTGCCTTTGAGGACTGCACCGCATTCATTCTCGCAGGCCACAGGTTCTCCAGGACAAACCCATGGAGAGCGCGAGATCGCCTGCGGAGGAGGAGGACTGTGCAGTCAGCTGTGGCAGGTGCTCCTCTCCTCTCCTCTCCTCTCCTCTCCTCTCCTCTCCTCTCCTCTCCTCTCCTCTCCTCCTGCCTGAATGTTGCAGCACGGCCCCCCCAACCCCCATTCCCACCCCCTTACCTGCAATGTCGCACATTTCCGCATCGGTGGCGTTTGCCAAGGCCTCCTCCAGTTCGGGCTCCAGCGTGATCTGCTCCTCCTTGGGGATCTCTCTCTTGGGATTCTTGGGAATAAAAGGCTTTCCTGACAGTTCCCAGGCGTGGCAGGAGGTTGGCGGGTGGGGAACGAAAGAAACATTAGTGCAGCGAGCATGACGGGGGACCAACGCGTCCTTGTTCGGTGCAGCTCTGTGGGGAGCCGGCTGTGTGTCCAAACAGACGTGCCCCCAGCCGCTGCGCCCTGAAAAGTTTCTGTAAATATGTAGTATTATCACCAGCATCAGGAATAATATTTCTATCTCAGCCTTTTCTCCAAAAGGCCCCCATGACACTGCAGAAGCAAAGCTAAGGAAGGAAGGAAGGAAGGAAGAAGGGCAGTGCAGTACAATGGTTATAGAGGACTGAGAGACCCGGCTCCGAGTTGCTACTTGGCCAAGAAGGTTGTTGGACAGTCTTGCACAACTTGAGCCCAAACCTTGCAGGCCCTTTTCAGTCTAACCTTGCACAGAGGGGCAGCTTTGGGGCCATCCACTGACTCTCGGGGGGCCGCGTAAGCCACGGTGGCTTCCTTGCACCTTAGCATGTTCTCAATACAGATGTTGGGCCATTATGTGCATGATCCCAGCGAGAAAGGCTGGAGGAGAGCAGTGTGGTGGCAGAGTTCCTGTCCGCGAGCAGGGTGCATCGTGCTGAGCAGGTGGTGTTGAGGTCTGCCTGCTTGGCGGGTTTCGGAGGCTGAGACCCGGGGTCATGTCCACACTCAGCCTCAAAGCCCAGCTGGGTGACCCGGGCCAGGCACTGGCTGCCACCCTGAGCTCCACTGGGGGTGAGCGGAATACCAGCTGGAATCAGATTAAAACCGCTGCTGTGGCTCGGCTCCAATAAATTGACTGAATACAGCGCAAGCATCCATTTGATGGGGAAAAGGAAAACAGGCGTGTTTTGTCATGTAAAATAAGCATGATCCAGGGCCAGGGGGTTCTGCCTATCATGGCACATCTCTCTGGGTGGATGCTGGAGTGATCAGTTCCTAGAGATGCGGCAGAACTTCCAGTTCCTAACAGAGACTCAGGACAGGGACTCAACAAGAGCCTCAGCAGACTGCATCCTTTGTTGTCCCCCTCCCCGCCAAAGTCTACAAGCAATCCTCTTGCACAGACCGGCAGGACCGCGGGGTGCTGGTCGACTGCAGGCTGAACATGAGTCAGCAGTGTGATGCGGTGGTCAAGAGGGCGAACGCCACCCTTGGTTGCATAGCCAGAAGTGTGGCTTCTAGATCAAGAGAGGGATTACTACCACTCTATACGACTCTGGTGTGCCCGCAACTGGAATATTGTGTTCCGTTTTGGGCCCCTCATTACAGGAAGGATATAGCCAGGTTAGAGTCAGTGCAGCGAAGGGCCACAAGGATGGTGGCCGGTTTGCAGGGGATGCCGTATGAGGCGAGACTGAGGGAACTGGGTCTCTTCAGCCTGGAGAAGGGGAGACTCAGAGGGGATATGTTGGCGACAGGCAGGTATGTGAGGGGGTGTCACACGGAGGTGGGGAGAGACCTGTTCTCCCCCGCACAGGAAGGCAGGACGCGCTCCAACGGAGCCAAGCTCAGGGAACCCAGGTTCCGTTTGGATGCCAGGAAGCACTTCCTGACAGTCAGGACCCCCAGGGTGTGGAATGGGCTTCCCCGGGAGGTCGTTGAGGCCCCACTGGTGAGGGTGTTCAAGGATAGGCTGGATGTGCACATGGTGGGCATGTCGTGAGCGGAGCCGGCTGGAGCCGGGGGTCAGACTAGATGGCCTGGGAGACCCCTTCTGACTTGCCCTGTTTCTATGTTTCTATATGGGTTTGAAATGCCTTCTTGGACACGCTGAGGCCTGCAATCTTGCACTGTTTATTTGTTGTGGTGGTTGTTTTAATCCAAGATTACTGTTACTGGGATTCCAAAGGACAAACGTGTTGCCTGGATCTCGCCCTTCTGCCATGCCCCAGAAATGGCCTTCATTTGTCTTAGCTACGGAAAGGAAGTTACAGATTTATTAATAGCCAACAGATGCTTTATCGCTCAGGCTGCAAGATGAAGAAAGCAGGAGCAGGGAGAGAGCGGATCTGTGAAAAGTGGGCACATCAACCCAGCACCCTAAGGAGAAGCTTTTCGAAAAACACCATCTCGCTTAATATCGTGCTATGTAGAGAATGGGGAAGGAAGAAGGCTAACAATTTGGATCTGTTTTTAGATAGCTTTCCCTCTGTTGGGAGTAAAAATAGCAGGTGGTAATTAAATATGGGTGGGAAGAGATGCGATACACCGGGCAGAATGAAGGCGACGATTTGACGATTTGATGCTGGGATTAGAAATGCTACGATGCGTGTTAGAATTGCTATCCCCGTTTCTGACATGTCTTGTACAGAACATGTTGGTTTCCCGATTTTAAAAAATGATTTAAAATGAGAGAGAGGGACGGAGGGAGGCAGGCACGTGGGTTGCGGCTGTCGACCTTTCCAGAAATCTCACTTTCGGCCTGGATGCCTCGATCCTTTGGTAAGGCTGGAAAGGAGGAAGCCAGGACCCTCACTGGGATCTTTCATTCGAGGCTAGCGTGGGAACCGGGTGGGGGAGCAGTGAGGCTGAACCTGAGACGGCGACCGTCTTCCCATATGCTGGCTGGGCCCACCTGTTGTCCTTTATCAGAGGCACTCCGGATCGTTGACCAGCAAAGTTCAGGGCAGCCGCTGGTTCTCTGGGCTGCAACGTTTTCCGAGAAGACGACTTTCCCTTCTGGAAGCTCCCAAATCCCCTTCCAGGCACACTTTCTGTGCCTTTCGCAGCATTGTCCCAGGCACCTTCGATCGCTTCCAACCCTGGACATGTTAGCTCCAAAATGCAGTCGGGGGACCAGTTTCTTGCACACATTTAGACATAAAAATATATAATTGATTTGTTTCTCTCCCATCTTTTCCTCCAAAGCAGCAAACATGGTTCTTCTGCTCTCTCGTTGATGCACACAACAATCCTGTGAGGTAGGTTGGGCTCCAAATCAGGGAGTGGTCCACAGTCACCACTGAGCTCCCTGGCTGAGTGAGGGCTGAGTGGGGGTCTCGTCGGATACTCTTAACGGCTAGACCACCCTTGTGGAAATGCAGAGGGGCTTTTGTGCGACTTGGTAGCAGCTCCAGGCAACCTACCCGCTGGGGACTCCCTGGTAGGTTGTCCCTTCATGGAGGAAACCAGGAGTTCAAATCCTCCCTGGACCATGAGCCCCTGGGACAGACAAGCGGGTCACTGTGGCCCAGCTGGGTTGCTCCGAAGATAATGCCAGGAAAGGGCACTCCACAGAGAGAGGGTGTGGAGAACACATGTGAGAGCCGGAAATGCAACAGGGAAACGGTTCTCCGTCTCTCTGCCTTCACCTTGGGGGATCTGCACTGGTGGGATTTCTGCCTGTCGCTCCGCCCCGAAAAGCACAGGAGCTTGAGCGATGCAGGGGGAAAGCTGCACTCTCCGTCTCTTCCCATGGGGAATATTCAACAGCCGCCTGGCAGGTCCGCATCCAACAAGGGAGCTTCCTTTGGTACCAAGAGGAGCAGGGAGAGCTTTGCCTCGTCTCTGTTTGAACGGTCGCTCGATCGGGACTCTCTTCTTTTGGGTGGGGACCGCCGGCCCCTTTGAAAGTGGGATTGCAAGGGAAGAAAGACGGCATAGATCTAAGGTCTCGTGAGAAGTGCTGCTCAGAAAACGTTAGCTGTGAAACACACCCTGGAAAGAAAGAAAGAAGTGACAGAAAGAGACTACCCTGGGATTGAGTTCTAGATGAGGGTTTTGCCCCACAATGCCAGGGAATCATGTGCAGAGGCAGTTCCTGGTCTCCACCAGCAAGGAACCACAGCTGTGGGAGCAGGTGACTCGGAGCCAAAGCACCCCAAAGATGAAGGGAGGGATTTCTGAGAACGGGCTGCGAATGATGGGAGTTGTAGCCCAATGCTCCTGGAGGGGGACTGGCTAGAGGAAGGCTGTTTTAGATTAAATCAGGCTCAGCCATAAAACTGGCCACCATGTCTGTGCTTTTCGACGGAGGAGCTTCTGGATCAGCCAAGTGTCTTCCCAGCTGGGGGGTTTCGGCCTCCTAAATGTGCAGCTGTGGACCCAGGAGGCTTGGCCAGGAGAGGCACGGCTCGCTGCGTGCATGCAGAGTGGACCTCAGCAGCCCTGGAAGAATGGTGCCATTGGGACCAGAGGGAGCCAAAGGAAGGCCTCTTCTCGCACGGCCGCCTCGGACCCCAACAGGGCTGGCAGGAGCTGCACTGCAACCCCTTCGGTTTGGGGATGGCTGCCCGGGCAGCTCAGATCCACTGTCTCGCGAGTGGATCGCATTCACGCAGCCACAGTCAAATGGGCCCACGGCAGCAGGGAGCATCGCCACCACCGTTACGTGTACAGTCAGGACACGGGTCGGCCCGAGCGCCGATCCTGAAAACTGATCTGCTGCATTTTGCGCCTTCGCCGTTGATCACGAAATAGCTCTTCAGGTCGAGGAGGGAGACCCACAGGCTGCGATGGAGGGCGCCCCACCGACGCTCCACTGCTCCGGAGCCAGTATTCGTGGGACCGGCCACGCCATGCCGGCTTTCAGGTGTGATGTCGAGGGCTTTGATTCCAAGAGATGCCGCAAACCTTTACCAAGGGGGTGAGAATCCTGCCCGGGGTCGGGACATCTGAGCCGCACACTGGGCTATTTTGGATCCCTGCCGTGCTCCCGGCCATGCTAAATATAACCCTTACTCTCGATCCCACCCCAATTCTGGGCCAGGACACTCAGTGGGATTCTGGCTCCCCCCACCCCGATCAGCTCTCACTCGTCACCATGCTGGGACACAGCTGGTCTCAAGCACCGACCAGGATGTGAGCCTTTGTTGACGTCCTTCTGGCTGCGCCCCTGGAATCTCTTGCCCCATTCAAAATGGCAGCCACGGCCAGTCCTCAGTTTGCAAGCTTGGTGGTCTGATCTGAAGCATCGAGAAGGGTTTCTGTCTCCGCGTGGGCTCAAACGGATGCCGGTAGGAGGCTACGTTGCTTCAGCTTCTCCCCAAAGGCAGCAATTTGGGAGATGCCCACCGAGTGGAAACCCACCTGTGCTCTTTGCTTTCAAAAGCACCATCTCGGGGAAGTCTCTGAGCCGGATGATCGCCACCCCTTTGTGTCCATTTCAGCGGGACACTGCGCCAAAGCTGCTGGTGCCTTGTGGCCTGCAGAGCCGCCCCGCCATGGCTTCTGGGGCCGATCGTCACAAACCACCGTTTGTCAGTCGAGTCATCCTCCTTTTTCCTTTTGTATCCTGGGCATCGGATGGTGAGCCTGCAGGGAAGGCCTGGCTCATCTTCCAGCGTCTGTTCAGCTCTTCGGCGGACGGGTGCTCCTGGTGCTTGCACTGAGCTTGTGGTGCAACTCGGGATGCCGTGTTCCACCACACACACAGAGGCACATTGCAGAGCTAGAAACAGTCCAGAGCAGGGCAGCTGCAAGGAGCTGAGGTGTCTCCCATACGAGGAAAGGTTATAAGGGCCGGGACTGTTCAGAGGAGAAGCAGGGAGCCCTTGGGGAAATGTGGAAGAGGTGGAAAGAGGAGTCGTGTGTGGCACGGAGAAGGCGGGCAGGGAGACTTCCTCCTCCCTCTCTCACAATCCAAAGAGGTCATTCCACGAAGCTGATTGATGGGGGATGCGGGAGAGATACAGTGAAGACACGTCGTTAAATCCTGCAGTTCCCATCCATGAGATAACATTATGGCTGCCACTTTGGCCAGCTTTAAAAGGGGACCGGACAGATTCCTGGAGAGAAACGAGATCTGGATGGCTCTGTGCCACCTCCCATGTCAGAGGCGGTACGTCAAGCATGTCAGGTGCTGGGGAATGTGGGTAGGAGAGTGCTTGTGGGATCCTGCAGGCAGCCACTTGGCCACTGTGTGAAGAGAATACCGGCCTTGTCCGGATCCAGCAGGAATCTTCTTTGGCTGTTCTATTCTTTCCAATTTTGATCAAAATATTCAGCAATAAGCCCTCATGCCCCCAAAACATAAGCCCTCATGCCCCTTAAGATCGGTGGGGTAGTCCTTGCTCCGGGAGCCCTCTCTGAAGAAAGTACGGAAGGTGTCTACCCAAAGGAGGGCCTTTTCTGCAGTGGCGCCCAGACGGTGGAATCCGCTCCCCAGAGAGGCCCGTCTGGTGCCGACACTACATTCTTTCCAGCGCAGGTCAAGACCTTCTTATTTGATCATTACTTTAACAATTAATGTTTTAGATGTTTTATCTCTTTCCCCTTTTTCACAGTCACATTTTATAGTGAAGTTATAGTGGTGTATTATATTGTTTTAATAATTAATGTCTTTATAGTAGTTTTATATTTATTGCATTTTTATACATTATGTAAGCCATCCTGAGCGCTTGAAGTGATAGGATGGGGTATAAATGCAGGTAATAAATCAATCAATCAATCAATCAATCAAAGCAAAGGCATCATGGCAAACAACAGCAAGTACGAATACCTCCATCAAAGGTGCCCACCACCAGCCGTTCAAGCAGGCTGCATGAAGGGCAGAAGCCAAGCAGCGCCACCTGCCCTGCCGAAAGACGCTGACATTTCCCCCTTCCTGATCCGCTTTCCCCTTTCCCCTTTTGCTTTGTGTCTTCCTGGGAAAAGGCTGGTGGGCAGGGAGCGCTGGATGGTTTGGAAGCCGCTCTAAGAGCGTGCCCTGGTCCAGCGACAGGATAAAAATACTGCCACTAATAACAGCCACCACCACCTCCACAAGTGTTTGACCATTTGAAGCACAACGCACCTTTTCTCCATGTTTTGGTGCAGCGCTTGAACCCAGCACGCCTTCCCTCCCAGCCCCTGCCCAGGAGAAGGGGAGAGAACGGAAAGGCTGGCACGGAGAGGTCAGGGAGCAGCGCAGGGACGGAAAAGGCAAGGCCGCTCCTCCCGTTGGGGGCCGGTTCCTTCCTGTGGTCCCAGTGCCCATTCCTGAGGCTTGGCGCACGGCCAGGAGGAATCGCCTCGCTGACCAGACAGGACTCCTGTCCTCGAAAGCGCTCCCGGCCCACACAGCAGGCTCGCGGGCGCTCCCCACGCCCAGGGTCGGAGGCCGCACTGCTAGCCGTCGTGCCCGTGGGGGCTCTTGCACACAAAGCCGCTCGGCGAGGGCTGGGCGCCAGCTCCTCGATCCCTGGCTGCAGCTCAGGACTGCCAACTGACCCAGAAACCCAAGAGCAGAGCCGTGCCTCTGCCTCTCCGTGGAAGCGCGGCGTGGCCCAAGCCAGGGGGTGTGCGGCAGGTGCATCAGGCTGCTGGTGCCGCCACGGCCGCAGAGCAGCTGCCCCAGCCTCTGGAGGCGGCTTGCGCGGACTCCGGCGGCCCCTTACCTTTCTTCTCCCCAGTGAAGGGCACCAGGTCTTCCCGTTCCTTCGCCTCCAAGGCCTGCTTCTCCAGGTGCTGCATCAGGGCGTCACGATCCAGAGGCCCGGTGGGGCTCTTCTTGGTTTGGTCTCGCTGTCGGAACCCGGCCGGGAGCATGACGTTCTGGGGGGGGCAGGGAAAATTGGGGTGAAGGGCGGATGCCTCGTATTTTCTGGGGTTACTGGGACGTGGGACCTCGGAGGTTTCAGAGGAGGGAACTTTCGGAGCTGTCAAATCGACAGGTGGGGCTTTAGGCCAGGGTGGCCTCGCGGCTGTCCAGCCGGGCTGTGCCCCAAAATTGGAGTGACCCTTCCCCAACCTGATGGCCTCTGGATGCCTTGGACTACAGCTCCCATCACCCACCAAGGGCCAGTCGTAGTGCCAACTGTGGATGGTTGGAGTTGTAGTCCAACACACCTGGAGAGTGCTGCTTGGGGAAATCTAACAACTTGTTCTACAAAGAGGGGTCCATTTGCAACGGGGGGAGGCGAGGGGAGCAGGTCGCACGAGGCGCCAGGAGCCCCAAATTTGCAGAAATACAAGCATGCTTGTGTGTGAGGGGAGACTATAAGCAGGCAAAAAAAAAAAAAAAAGAGCCCACTGTGAAATTGGACGCGGGGAGATGGATTGGAGTATCTTGCATGGGGCATGGCCGGCCGGCCGGCTGGCCAGCCGCTCTCCTATCACAGCATGCTTCTTACACCCTCCTTGCTACCCCTCAAGCACCCAATTGTAGTATCTTCACATTCAGAAAGGTTGCTGGCCTTCCAGGCAACCAAGGCGCTGCGGTGCTTCTGTGCCGCCTCTGGCCTGGCGGATTCCTGCCCCTCTTGGCAAGAAGGCCGCTCGCCCGCGCTCCGCACCTGCCGCCCGCACCCTCCCCGACCGACCTCACCTCGGGATCCATTTCCTGCAGCTCTATGTCGAGCAGCTCCAGCTCCTCTGGCGACAGCTCCCGCAGGATCTTGTCTTCATCGATATCCCGGTACTTCTCCAGCTCTTTCTGGTACGAGGTCGTCATGGCTGGCGCGGCTTATGGGACCGTGAGGTCTCCCTCGCAACAGAGGACAAGGTGGCTGGAGCTGGAGGGCAGAGCGACTCGTGAGTAACCCATGAGTAACCCCCAGGACCAAACGCCACGCTGAAGATTCAGGGCAGCCCTTTCACAGAGCAGTGTGGCGTGCTGGTGAACCAACCAGTGGAACTCCCTGCCTCGTGATTCTCCCAAAATTCCGCCACGCATACTGCTGGAGACTCTCGCCGCCATCGTACTACTGTTGCCATCAAGGGAGTAAAGAGGTCTTGGCTGGCCGAGTGCACCGAGTCCAGTTGCTGGCTGCCTAATGAAGCGATTGGATCTGTGTGCGCCTGCATGTGAGAAGGGTCATTCCCCATCTGCAAGGAGGGGAATGACCCTTCTCACGAGGGGCAGGGGAATCCCTGGGGTCATTCCCCATCTGCAAGGAGGCTGCAGGGCAGGGCCATCCCAGCATGAGGCAGGGCAGCAGATCTGGGATGCCCAGGAAGGGCTGCGACATGCTATTCACCATATTTCTACTACAGGGGTGCGGAGAGGCGCTCACGGGATTTTCTGCCAGTCCCGCTGCCCTCTGCCAGCCAGACGCAAAACCTCCCCAGGCCAGATGGACCCCGTGCGCCAGAGGTTCTGCTCCCCTGCTTTAAAAGGGGGGGGGGGGATCGGGCTTTTTGTGTTTTTTGGCACTTGCGGGTCACAGGTGGCAAGCGGCACCCTAGAAGCAGCGCTATGCGTTCCTCTTACGCTGGCAGAAAGGGTTCATCCGAGCTGGTGCCCACCTGTGGTTTTAAGTGCCAGCGTGAGAATGTGAGACACTGAAGTGACCGGCTCTGGAGCTGTAAGAACTCTGGGTCCTACTCCCCGTGTCTGGTGCTTTTGCAGAAGCTGCCCAGCCTGCCTCTTCTTCATGGCTCTGAAAAAGTTTGGTTGTTTGGCCCTGCTGCCTGTATACTCCCCTGATAAGCAGTGATCCATATTGCCCTGCAATCCTCAATATTTGTTGATTTGTAAATTATTCTATGTTATGCTGCTAATCCTAGGGAAATGTATGATTTACTTCTTTATGACGTGCTCCCGCAATTGATATACTGGGTGCAGTCTCGCTTTTCTAACACCCGAGGCTTCTGAGCCACTCCGGGCACAATTTGAAGAAAGGCAGCACTGGAGAAGAAACGGCAACCCACTCGGTGTCTTTGCCATGAAAACCCCATGGACAGCACCAAAAGGCAAGAAGGCAGCATACAGATTAAATAAAAATGAGGTGCTTCCCACTTAAATTTGCTCAACGGGGCAACTTTTTAAAAGGGATGTTAGTGATAACGGACAAGGCAGCAGGGACCCCACAGCCAACCCTGAGGGTGGGGTCTTGTCCTGCCTCTTTCAAAAAGCCCCTCACTGGCTGGGCCTTATTTCCTTCTGCCTGCTCCATCCTCCCAGCAGATAAGATGCCTTCTGAAACAGACGTTTCGGTAGGGGACGGGGCCCCTCCTTCTCTGCTATCTGGTCTCCACGTTTTTGGAAGAAAGGAGTTCTTGTCTGGTTCTGGTATTCAACTGGCAAGGGAAACCTCCGTGCAGAAAGGAGGGCTCTGTGGGCAGAGATAAGAGAGGAGTCCTCAGCCAGGCCCTCTCTGAACTACACTAAAAGGATCTCTTTGTGTCCCCAGACTGGGAAACTGCCCAGCCTGCAGTTGCAGCTTCTCCCTTGCCCGGCTCCACGCCACCTTCTTTTGCATTTGCAGCCACCAACAGGTATCAGTTCAACCGGCGTGGGAAAGCTTTGCCAGCTGAATTCTGCCGGTCATGCAGGTCAGCCACATCCCCGCCCCCCCCCCCCACCCCACAGGCGTCCAGCACTGCAGCAGAACAACCGAGTTCAGAACAACAGCCTTGGCTCAGCATCTGGTCGCTTGCTCCTTGCCCCACGTTTTTGCTAAGCGGGCTAATATTCAACAGGTGCAGCTGTTCACCTCGACATGAAGCGCAGTGAAAGGAAAGAGAGAAACACTGGACCTCAGTCCAGCTGTTGAAAAACAGATGTGGAGAAAGAGCGAGTCAACGCCCGCAGGAGCGACAGGGCATGCCTTTCCAAAAGAGCTGCGCTTACCTTCCCCAGACCAGGGCTGGAGGCCTGCATGGTCCGTGTGAGGCCAGGCTGGAGGGATGCGAGCCAGCCCTGCTCCTGCTTGCATTGCCCCAGAATCTCACATGCTCCTGTGTGGGTGGCGGATGACGACGGACGGGGCCTTTCCAAAGGGGGAGTTTTGCTCTGTGTGGTATTTTCCTCTCACAGAATAACCAATGGAATTGTATCCTTGAAATGCTCTTGCTGCCCCCGTTCCTGGAGGAAATGGTGGGGGGGTTGGACTGGTGGTCTAGCCCCAGTTCAGCCATGCAGCTCACTTCCAGCCTAGCCTACCTCACAGGGTTGTGGTGAAGATAAAATGGAGGGGAGGCCTGTGCGCCTGAGTTTCTTGCAAAGGAATAAAAACTCCTTGCAAAAGCGCCATAAATGTGATGTCGTAAGTCTTACCAATATTGCAATGACCAAACACATCGCCGGTCCAAAGATCTAAACTTTAAAATTATTTCTGGGGAAATAACTGTTGTTTTCTAAATGGCACTAACGTCTAATTATTGTAATGCTCTCTTTGTGGGGCTACCTCTGAAGACGGCCCGGAAAGCCCTGTTGGTGTCAGAGGCTGCTGATGAGGGAGGACTCGCCCAATTCGAGCATATATGGCCCGTTCTCCATCTACTTCACTGGATACCAGTCGAATTCCAGGCCCGATTCAGAGCGTTAGCATTAATACTGGGGCCAAGTTATCTGAAGGCGCGCCTCTTCCCATACGCGCCTACCTGGACCCTAAGACCATCATCTGAGGTCCTTCTCAGAGAGGCCCCCAGAAGGAAACGAAGAGGGTTGCTACAAGAAGGGCCGTTTCATGGTGGCACCCCAACTCTGGAATCGTCTCCCCAAAGAGGGCTTCCCGGTGCCTCTTTCTACTCCTTGTGGCATAAGGCAAAGACCTTTTTATTTGCCCGATATTTTAATACTTAAAGTAATTTTAGCGAATTGTTACATGGTATTTATTCTATTTCATTGCCGCTGTGCCTTTGGCTTGATTTGAATTGCAGCCGCTGTGGGGCTTCCTTGTGGGGGTGCAGTCAGACGCGAGCTGCCCCCCTGGACTCCTGGGCGAGAGCTCAGCTCTTCGGATGTGCAGGGCCGGGCACCATCCGTTCGCGCATTCTGCTTCCTGAAGATGCAACCTGGGTACCTCTGGGGAGACCACCAGGAGCAGGGCAGCCATCCCAGCAACTCAGAGATAGACTGCTTCTGAACCTGGAAGCTCCATGAGACACTAGGACGCAAAGACCTGCACAAGTCCTGCCCCTTCGACTTCGCAGCCGACACCACATTGTGGGAAAGTCTTGTGTCTGGTCTGCGATTCCAGCTCAATGAATGACCCCAGATTCTTGAACTGGGCAGCAGCAGCCCTTTTCTCGCACACGAATCAGCCCTACTGATTGACCACAGCTGAGCAGTGAAGCCAGCTTCCATTATGTAGCCGCCAGCGCCGAACATTCAAAAGAAACACCCTTGACATTCCCAACCAATGGAAAACCACACACTCATCTGGGCTTCTCAACATTCTTCCTGAGCCCAAAGCCCAGGAGAGTATTTTTCATGGGGATCCTTTTACAAGAGGGCACTGGGTGACTTTCTTCTGTACTATGTATTTAAAATTTAATTTGTGCCTTATGTTGTATTTTGTGGTGTTAATGGTTGTAAACCAGCACTCCTGCAGAGAGCTTTGGTGGTATAAAAAGCAACAAAAAGAAAATAAACAGTAAGAGGTTTGCAGAACAGATGGCAGCAAGTGGAAATTCTTATTTCTTAGAACGGCACGGAATCTTAGTATTACGAGATTCTCGTATTTGCAAACAGGAACAAGGAGGTTTGCTTTTGCTTTGTATTTATAGTCCGCCCTTTTTCCTTTTGCCAGCTTACCTGAACTTCCTCTTCCAGTCCATTTTACCCTCACAACAAGAACCCTGCGAGGTAGTTCGGGCTGAGAGTCAGCGACTGGCCCAAAGTCCCCCGGTGAGCCTCATGGCTTGAGAGGGGACTAGAGCCCGGATCGCTTGACTCCTGGCCCTGCGCGAGGCTGGGGCTCCCGTTCATTTGCTGGTGGCTTGGCCCCCGCATGCAATTCTATGCATGGGTAGACAGATAAAGGCTGTGCTCTGGGTTGCGGGCCCCTTTTCCTCTGGCCTGCCCACTGGACACTCTCCAGGCTCTCCCCTTAGTCACGTAGATTTCTGCTAACTCGGAAAGGTCCTGCAACCTCGTTCAGCATTTCCGGGTAGGGAAGATTTCCATGAGTTCAGAGAATCTGCTCCGGTGTCTTTGTGCAGGCATTTGCGAGAAGGCTTGGCTGGATTTCCAAGTGGAGAGCAAGGGCATGGCTCATCGCAGCACTTCGGGAAAGCAGCCACATCACGGCTGATGTCCAGCCTGCCTCCACTGCGGTACCAGAGGGTGCTGTGCTGCGGCTGGGACAGGGCCAGAGACACCCTTCCCAACGGTAATGCGCCTGGGAGGTTGTGTAGAAGGCTGCAGACATGAGCCAGCAGGTCACGTCCCCCTCAACCTCTCCCCCTGCTAAAAGCCCCCGGGGGGGTCAAGTGTCACCAGCCGCTGCACATCGCCCCAGAAGCAGCTGCAGCTAGCGCCACGGGGGTCGGTCCGAGGAGGACAGGACAGCCCGGCCAAAAACGGGGGCCAGACAAATCGAACCGGACCAAACCTGCATCAGCTTGACAAACAGGGGACACACACACGTCAAAGACAGCAAAGGAGGCTTGTTTTGAGGGTGCAGGTAAAAAGCAGGTATTCTTGAGGACCTGCTCACTCACATCTGTTGTCATCAGGACGTGCGTGTGAGACGCGGGTTGTCGGCTGCCTTCCCCACAGTCTTAGAAGACACTTGCTCAGAGGTTTTGACCAGCACTTTAGGAGACGGTGCAATGGGCGAGAGAGCCGGACTCGAATCCCCGCTCGCCCATGTGGCCTGAACAGTCTTGGTCTGACTCAGGCCACTGCTGTGCCTAGCCTGATACTGTCCCCTCTGATTAGCAACGGGGGTTCTCCTGGGTTTCAGAGAGCGGCTTTTTTTTACAGCCCTACTGAGAGATGCTGAGAACTGAAGCCGGACCTTCTGCACAAAAAGCAAATGCTCTACCACTGAATTAAGCCCTTTCCCTAAACAATGAATTCTAATCCTCATGGTTCTGAACAAAGAGCTGATCTAAACAGGCCGCAAACTGCCTTGTCCAAACTTAGTCCTCTTGGGTAGCCTGACTGAGTATTGTCTCGGCGCAGTGGCTGACGGTGGTTCCAAGCAGCGCTGCCCTGCTCCACCTGGATGCAAAGCAGGGACTCTGTTACCGAGGGAGCAAATCTTGCTACAGTCCAATGCTGCGTGGCAAAAGCACAACGAATGCATCTGGAATAGAGGGGCAAGTAGACCGGAAAGCTGCCAAGTTACATGGATATGCAAGGCCTCAAGCTCCACCAAATCAAGGTGACTCAGAACGTCAGGCCTGGGCTGAGGGGATGACACACTTTCCGCACAAAAAGAAGGGCAGGTCGGTATTCCAAAGGCGAGGGACGGAAGAACCAGAAAGGGGGCACACAATCTCACAGGGTACAAAGGGCCACACAAAGAGAGATCAGCTTCTGGCGGGTCACGTCAGCATGCCTGCCCCATCCCATCCACGCCCGGCCTGTTTCCCCACAAGCGTGCCACCCCGGGTCCAGCTGGCCTGCGTGCCCCCGTCGCCAGGTTGCTTGCATATTGCCTTTCTGAAACTGGTCAGGGCAGCTGACCTCCAAAAGCCAGAAAATATTATTTTAAAACAGGATCAGATAAGAATAAAGCAATACAAGAAAGGCAGAGACAACCTTAAAAACCACAGCTAAGGTTTTGAAAAGCAGAGAGAGGGGGGGAGAGAGTGGAAGGGGGCAGCGATCACATCTCCAAAGGGGAGGCATGTTCCAGAGTTTGGGAGCCTGCTCATGCCAGACAGAGCGACTTAGATGACATCTCGGCTCTCCAAATCTACCAAAATTGTACTCCCTCAATCTCATTCCCCCACTGTCCTCCAGGTCTCCCCTTCACTGTGGCTTAACATTTTGGCTCTCCAACGCAGGCACAACTACTTCCCCTATTGCATCCTTCCACTGTAAGCGCCTTGGGGCAGGGCAGCCTCTGTCTTTCTTGCTACGCTGCAAGCTTTCTGCCACAAAGGCCGCAGTGAGAAGCTGTGTTTCCTGCAGTGCGTTGCAGGGGAAGCCACAGGCCAAACACTTGGAGGTCAAAAGGAGACGGTGTGCCACAACGCTCTGCTCTTTCATTCCGAATTAACCTGACACCCCCTCCTTTCCCCCCATCCCCACACTTGGCCTCCCATGGAACAGGGCGGGAAGCAGTGGCCGGCGGGAGGCAGGGGCCACTGGCAGATCTGTGGGTAACCTGCGGGAATTCCTGCCTCCCAATTGTTTCCAAAGCAAGAGCCCTCAGCAAAGATTCCCCCTGCTTCTCAGTTAGGCTGCTGAGATGCACAGAAAGTTTACGGGGAGAAGTAGGGTGGATTTTGGGGTGCTAGGGCCATGAGCTCAGTTCCAGGCCTGAAAATAAAACTGTTGGGTTGTGCGTGTGCTCAGAGGATCCCTTGCTGTGGAGCTGCTCCCGCTGCTGGTGCTTCTTGCTCCAGTTGGTGGACCTCTGCGTGCTGGCAGAAAATCAGCAAGGAGCCCGCCCGCACCTGCACGGACCCCCTTTCCGCACCTCTTTGGCGCATACAAGCCCCAGAGGACTGCGAAGGCTGTCTGGAGTTAAAGCAGAAGCGCCTTCCCAGAAGGGATCTCACGTCATTTCACCCACTCCACCCTTCCAAATCTCTAGCGGCTGGAGACAACCCCATCTCAGGACATCCCCGCTCCCTCCTGCAGGTCGTGGGCGAGTCCCACTCTTTGGACGCAGCGGCATGAGGCGGTTTTCAGCCTACAGCAACCGAGGCAGAAATAAAATCCTTTCAAGTAGAAAACTAGCTCTGCACTCCAAGGGCTGGGCTTTGGGGACCCTTTCCTCCTGAGGAACTAGCTCGCTGCTTGCGGGGGGATTTTGTGCGATTGGACCTGCAGCTTTCCCAAACAGCACTGCCTGCGCTGTGGTATAGCCCTCTCTGCCACGCCAGGATTATACCATCTCATTTCCTTCCATCTATAAACTGCATGTTTTTGTCTCTCCTGTGTGTACACACACACACCGAGCGAGCACAAGCGAGCGAGCTCCTTGCGTTTCTTCAGCAACCCTTCTCATGCCACAGCTCAGACTCCCGCAAATGCCCAGCCCTGCTCTGCCCGGTGTGAGAATCTCACCATCTCCTCGCCTCCCGAGGCCCCAAAGCCGTGCACTGCGAGGGGTGGGGGGGAAGACGACTGAGCGAGAAAGGAGAGGAGGGAGCCGGCGGGGGAATCCGGGCTTACCTTCGGGCTGGCTGTGGGGCCTCCGCTGTTTTCCCGAGCGGTGTGAACCCAGCAGCAGGGCAACAGCGAAGCAGCCGGGGAAGAGTGTGAGATCAGCATTTTATTATTTTAGCGTTCCAGCCGGGCAGACGGGCGTGTGTGGGAGCGAGAGAGATCCCATATACAGACAGCGTTATCAATCCCTCTGCAGACCTCCTGGACCTCCAGTGGCTGCAGCGGAGAACTGCCGACCCAGAAGGACCGGCTGCTCTGGGAAGATGCTTGTGTTCACAACAGGCCTTCATCCGAAGGCTGTTAAAAAAAATTGGGAGAGGCTTAAGAAATCTGTCTGGTGTTATACCAAAGGGGACGGTACACATTTGAGAAGCTACGGCTACCAGCACAAATGTTGAGACGGCAGATCATGAAGATCGCTGGATCGGAGGTCTCTCAGGATCTTATTCAGCAAAGCTCTTGTTCTGCCCTTACTACAAATCCTCTTTAAGAAGGGATCGCCCAATTTTGCAAGCTACGGGTGGTGCGATGCACTGAGGCTTCTTGGAAATCGCCGTCTGGGCAGTGCCCGGTGCTTCACTTAATTTTTCCAGGGGGGGTGGGAGAGGTTTAGACTGAGACAGGGCCTGGCATATCCTGTCTTCACAATGATTTACATGCTCTGTGGAAAATAACAAGTGGAAGGAGAAATGGATTACCTGAACCCCCTTCTGACAGGTGAAAGTCTGGTGTCACAACATTACCCCCCCCCCATAATGCAATGAATAGAGGACTTAAGAATACGTTTATTAAACAGATATCAACTTCAAATGGATACCTATTTGGATATTCAGACCAGTTTTGTTGAAGCCTATTTACAAATGCTAAAAAGTTGTATGCATTTCATGCGAGTTCATGTAGCGATATTTAAAAGACGGTGTTTTTTAAAACCTTTAAAAGCCAGGTACCCTTTGGTAGGCTTTGTTGGAATGCTATAGGTACGTTCTCCAAAAAAAAGCAGTCTTCCCCAACCTGGTTTCCTGAAGCCGCTGGGGATAATGGGATCTGTAACTCTTCAAATCTGGAGAGCATCAAGGCCACACTGGAACAGTCCTCTGGTTGCCCCAGCAACATCCTTCGCATGACCAGCCCCTGCTGCATGTGCACTGGTTAGGGCTGCCTTGTCTTTAGGAGAAAGCACTCTGTGCATGCCCTGGGACCTGAAACCCTCTTTCCACACCTATCCGGCACACCTAGAGAGCAATGAATTCACTGCTCGGATGAGTGTGGATGCCAGAGGGGCCTTCAGGGGCACCGGGGAGGGAGCTTCCCCCAGCAGCTGGCCAGATTCACCGGGAGGACTTTAGGAGACGGAAAGTGAGGCTGGGAGGGTCGGGGGAAGCAGAGGCGGGCGGAGAGTGACTCGCAGTGGCAGAGGAAGCAACAGACACACGCAGGTTTTTACTTGGGGTGCAAGCTAGTCGCCGGTTTCTAGAATTTCCACTGAACATGATGGGACTTGCTTTTGAGTGAGTCCAATGTGGATGTGCATTATAGGGGGCAATGCATTCAGCCACAGAGATGCTTTTAAGCCTTTGGATGTCGGTTTCTATCGAGAATGCAGGTCTCATTTGCAAAGCTGTTCCTTTATAAAGTAACTAACTTGAAGTGGAAGATGAGCAACTTTTACAAAAATCCTAGCGAATACTTTGGGGACACCAATGGAAACGGCAGGCGGCGTTGGTGAGACGCCTCAGGAAGAGACTCTCGCAGGCAAGCCACCTCATCCCCTCAACTTAGGATTGTAAATTTTGTTGTAAAATTGCTTTAGGCAGGGCTGGGGTGGGGAAGCTGTCTGCTCCGCAGATGTTGTTGGACTCCTGCTCCTACTGGCCTTATGCAGAATGACTTATGGATGCTGAGTGTGATGGTCCAACCACCATAAAGGAACACACCTGTTTTAAGGAATTCCAAGCTGATAGCTCAGTTGTTCAGAGCAGGAAGAACCTGATTTGCCTGGGATGAAGGGCAAACGCCTCTGCCATGCGTGGACACTGAAAATGCAGCCGCCAGGAAGCAGCGCCGCCACGCATGAATTGATTCAGGGCACAATCCTGTATTGGTTCAAACAGAAACAAAGGTCCTGCAGCTTCAAGCACGACTCAGAAACGTGGCTGGCTGGGCTGTCGTGGGTGTTCTGTCTGCACACGTCTCGGGATCATGTCCTTCCTCTGTCCACCTCTAGGACAGCAAAAATGCACCCTCTGACCCAAGGGGCTTTGTCCATCTATGACTGGCACAGGCTTAAGCCGTGTCGATGAGAGTGGTCCAGACACCACAGCTAGTGTTTGATGCGGAACTGAACACAATTGCTCCCAAGGACAAATCCAGGGACTATTTACATGAATACCGTAGCTTGAACATGACTTAAATTGAATGAATGACATGGACCTCGTGCACGAGCTCTTCTTTTCGCCTCCCGAGGTCTTGTCATGAGGTCTCGTCACTTTATTTTCCAAATCAGCAAGTCCTGCAGGAAGGCGTGTGAGCGCAGGCGGGAGGGGTGCCAGCGGGACGGGACGGGAGGAGAGGAGAGGGCGCCGGCCTACGTGGCTGGCACGCTGTGCTTGATAATAATCTTCTGCCTGGTGGCTCGGACGCTGGAGTCGGCGGCAGGTGAGCCGGCCACCAGAGCGGCCGAGGCAGCGGCGTTGGGCAGGCCGTGGGCCGTGATGTATTTCTTGTAGGCCTCGCGGATGATCTTGAAGGCCCGGGTGTTGGAGTAGGGGATGTCCGTGATGGGGTCCCGGTAGATGGCAGGCTTGTGGGTGACGGGGCAGATCTCCCTCACAGGGAGCTTGGGGGCCCGGGACTTCGGGAAGCAACGCTCGAAGGTCTCGTCGTCGCTGAAGGTCAGGAACGTGCGGGAACATTTGGCGGCTGGGGCTGAAGAGGCCTGTGGGGCTTCCAGAGACGGCTGAGCTTCCTGGTCCAGACTGAGGAGAAAGCAGGGGAGAGGCTCACGAATACGCAAGAGGACGGTCAGACAGCTTCCTTCCCTTCTCCTGCCCAGGTCGCCGCCGCGAGACACATCACTAGGCTGAAACGGCGTGCAGCACTGCAGCTTTCCACAACGCGGGGTGCTGAGAACGAGGCTCCCAACACTCCCAGGCAGCAGGGCCGAGAAGAGCAGCAGGCACTCTGCGAGGAGAGCGGGCAGCAGCAGGCCGAGGAAGGTGGCAGGAGGTCCCACCCTTCCAGTGGCCGAGAAATGGCCTCGCATGGACTGAGAGACAGAGCAGCGTGACAGAGAACGAGATACGAAGTGGGCTGGTAAACTGGGAGCTGCGACACCCTGAGGAGCAAGGCTGGGGCCTACACACGCTTCTACGGACACACCCACTGGTGAAACAGAGAGGACCATTCCGGAGACAACCAGCCCTGGCCGGAGTGGCCAAGAGACTCAGTGCTGGGGTCAGCTGCCAAAGCTGGCCACCGAGGAGCGGGAACTGACTGAGGCAGGAGGGCCAAGGCAGCCAGCGACCCACCTGGTCCTGTTATTTCTGCAGAGGCCCCAAGGGCGAGGAGCCCCGGCCAACATCACCTGTTGCCTTGCGGCAGTCCTTCCAGCAGAGGGAGAAAGACAGGGAGAGCCAGACCGTTGCCTCTGCTGAGAGACCGCCTGCCCTCGGGTCCCTGGCAGCACCAAGCTGCTGCCAGTCCATCAGGCCAAATGGCTTCCGTGCCAGCTGGTCCCTTTGGGTCAGTGCTGGAAAACCCTGTGCCTGTGGGCACCTCTCTCGCTGCCTGGCGGGCTCCTAGCCCTCCGGATTTGTATTCTATTTCTTATGATTTTTAAAACATTTTTTAAAAACTGGGAGGCTGGCATGCCGCAAGGGGAAGTGATGCCCTCTGATGCTTCGCTTTACTTGCACTCCAAAGAGCACTTTGGGGTTTTGCAGCTCAGACCCCACGCTGCCTTGTCTACAGGTTTTTAGCAAGGTACTTTGCTTTCCGTCTCGCCAGTTTGCCTTCAGAACCAGTTCCACCCACCACAGCTACCACTTTATGAAAGAAACGCAGCCAACCGCAAGGCAGCCATTTTGTGAAGGCACCCATGACACTTTTGCAAAGCTCTGGCTTGGGCCACCAGGGTGCCATTAACAAGTGCAGCCACATGCCGGAGGGCGAGTTCCTGCCAGAATTCTCGCGGCCGAGTTTTAACACTTGCAAAATTACCATCCTCACAGCCACCGGCATCACGCAACCAGCTCGCCCCACCCAGGGGCAGGTGGAACGGAACTTACCCCTCGACATCGACGTTCTCTTCCTTGAGGCCCACGTCCGAGATGAGCGGCATGGTCCCCGAGTAGTAGCGGATGGTTGGCCCCACGCACTTGCGCTTCTTCTGCACCTGGCGCTTCTTGTCTGCTTCTAGGCGCTCGTATGTCTCTGCAGAGGGGAGGGAAGCCAAGCGCCTGCCCGCTCAAGATTTGGACAAGGCTGCTGCTTCATAAAGTCATTTCCATACCCCCAAACTGTGCCCGTTGTGCATGAGAACAGAAGCCTTTCTAACCTCGGTGCCCTTCAGCTGTGCTGGATTACAACTTGCATAATCCCCCAGAGAGCAGGGCTGGTGGCTGGACAGCCGGGGGATTCTGGGAGGAGAGGGAAGGCTGTTGCATGGTCAAATATCTGTCCTCCAGGACTGTTCTGCCCACCTCATGCGGAGGACGATTGCCTCTGCGTGGCACTTTAGCCTCCTGGAGAGTCGGTGGCTGTGATTATGCCTTGCTGGTGTGCCTGTGCCACACATGCAGCTACGAGTCCCCACACAAAGCCCAGGGGTGTGGCGCCCCAGCCCACCAAGGTATTCCCGCACACCTGAGCCCCTCCCTCAGAATGCATTAGCCAAGTCACCGTAAGGTCCGCCCAAGCAGAATCCTCCCCACTGGAGAAGTACTGGCAGGTCGAAGGCCTCCTTTCCATACAGACCCCCCGTGAGCGCCCATAAGCCTTGGGAAGCCCTCTGCAGCACCCGTGCGCATGATGCAGAGACCACCGCAAAAAACCCAACCCATGCAAGAAAACGTGTGAGAAAACACGCTCAGCGGCCACGGTTAAAGCACTTGCAGTTAATTCATACATTATCTTCTTCTTGAAAAGGAAAAGTGATCTAGTCCACCTGCACTTGTGGACGGTTCCAGATCCCTCGGCCAGGTGACTCACCCAGAGAGCGCAGGTTGAGCTCCTCCGTTATCTTGGCCTCCTTCAGCAGCTCCTCTTGGGTCAACGGCCTCTCATGGCTGGGGCCTGCCCCCTTCTTGCGCTTCGACTGCACCTGGCGCTCCTGAACACGCAGGAAGGTCTGGCGGGTGTGCTCGGTTGTCGACTGGCGCATGTGCTTGCGGCCTGGAGAGCGGGGAGACAGGTGGGCACGTTGGCTACACAGGGTGTGGGCTGGAGGGAGTTTCCATCCTTTGGAGAGGGCTGGCTTCTTGGCAGTAGGTAGAACCACCCAGTTTGGCTTCCATCAACTCCCCCCACCCTGCCTTTTAATACACCTACAAAGAATCCCCATTTATCTTGGCTAATATGAGGCCTGCCTAGCTCACTCCACTTCTGCTTTCTGTCAGCCAGTGAGTCTGCCTGATTGGCCCAGAAGAGAGACACACCTGAGTTAAGAGAGGGGTTTCATGCCCTGAACCCTGGGGGAGCCATCGCTCCCCCCCCTTCCCCCAGGGCTCTTGGGAACACGGAAATCACCGCATCCCCTGGCAGGACCCAAGGCGAATGCCTGCGAAACCTCCTGTCCCGTACCGTCCTCAGGCTGGCTATGAAGACAGCCTTCCTTCCTTCCTTCCTTCCTTCGCCCCACACCCTACCAGAAGGCGAGGAGACCTGCGCCTTCTTGGGGACCTTTGCAAGTGCTTGGAAAAGCTTCAGGGGACTGTCTTTACGGCCAATGCAAGTGCCCTGATTTGCTTGCTTTATGCATGGCGTGGGCTCCAGTTTGCGATACCCGCCAGGGAGCCCCACTTCTCCTGGCCATTGTTAGTGGTCCTCACTCCCTTCTCCATCTTTGCTACCACTTGCCTACCTGCAAGGCAGAAAGCCAGGGAGCAACGCGGCGGCAACAGCCTCTCCTGCCCTGCCTTCTCACCATCACTGTCCCTTGGGAAACAGCAAAAGGCAGGAGAACAAGCAGTTCGAAGAGAAGCAGCACGTCCAGGGGGCCCTTCTCAGTGGAGCCCAGCCATGGTGCGACTCTTGGCTCGTGTCTGGCTATGCCACCCCTTGAAGCTGCCATGTTCTCGGTCTCCTACAGAGACACTTACTGTCGACCACGTCATCCAAGAGCTCCACTGGTACGGATCTTTCCTCTCGCACTTTCTGAGAGCCACTGGCAGGTGCGTCTGGTTTCTTGGGCCTCAAGCTCTTGATGGGCTCCTACAGGAAAGTAAAGCAACAAAACCCAAGAAGAAATTTGCTGAAGTTCTTTTTTTTAAACAAACAACATGCTACTGGTCATTAAAAGCATGAAAAAGATCAAGTTTCACATTTCAGTTACATGTGGGAACCTGAAATAATGGTGAATGGCAAGTGAGAGCCAGTGCAAGGCAATGGTTGTGTGCATGGGTCAGGAATTCAGCGACCTGGGTTCTAATCCCTGTTCAGCCATGGAGCCAACTGGGTGACTTTGGGCCACAGACTCTTAGCCCAACATACCTCACAGGGCTGCTGTTGTGAGGACAGGATTGAGATAAAATTGAGAAGAGGAGGGGACTCATGTAAGCAGCTTTGAGTTCCTTGGAAGGAAAAAAAGGCAGGACATGAATGTAACAACCAAATAAATAAATGATCATAGGTCCCTAGTATCATGTGACAGCCCATGTGACTTCAAACAAAATAAGAAAGAAGCAAGTCCAGGATCCATTGGTATTCTGGGAAGGCAAAGATTTCCCAGATTTATCCCACAGCAAACCAGTCAGAGACTGGCAGACCCTCCTACTTACCTTGTAGGCTTTAGTGACAACCCTGCGCTTCCTCTTGGGCTCATCCTCATCCTGGTCACTGCTGGGCACATCTCCTTCGTCAATATCAAAATCTGAGTCCACTTCATCATCACTGTCTGACTGGTCCCCTTTGTATTCATCATCACCCGATTCCTGCAAACCACCCAAGGAAACAGTTAGGTATGGGGCAGAGAGAGGTCATTCTTCCAAGCTTGAATCATCAGCCATACAGTGGAATGTTGTTAGGATCCGTCTCCAAGATCTACCCCTTCCCTGAGCCACTCTCTGTAGAACAGTCTTCCAAAATTGGATGCCCTTTCAGATGTGTTGGACTACAGCCCCTACAATTCCCTCACAATGATGAGGATTGTGGGGATCAGTTTCTTCCCTCCAAAATGAATGCCACGGTAATGTGGTGGTTAGACCGGAGCTGTAGAAACCTGGGTTCAAGGCCACGCTCCGCCATGAAGCTCAAGGTGTGGCTCTGGTCACTTATTTGCAGCCTAGCTTAATTCACAGAATTTTGAGAGGGTCTAACGAAGAAAAGCAGGAACGTGTGAACTGTCCAGATCTTCTTGCAGGGGGAAAAAGCAGGCTGCAAATATAGCAAAGCAGCGGCTCCTGAATGATGGGAACTGCAGTCCAATACATCTGGAGAGCAACTCCTATCATCCTATGAGCCATGCTTGTGGGATCGTAAGACTTAGCAAGTTATCAGAGCAGTCCCATAATGTCTGCTTTGAAGTTAAACTGTAATTTTTACAATTCTCAAATCGGTAAAGTAATTTGCCAAGTAAATACGTGCAAAATTGTAGTCTAAAGCTGGAATTCTATAGCCATTTGGGAATAAGCATTGAACTCTTATTATTATATCGTGAGCCGCCCCGAGGCTTATTGCGATGGGGCGGCATAGACATGCTTTAGATAGATAGATAGATAGATAGATAGATAGATAGATAGATAGATAGATAAATCAATAAATCCATCGCGCCCCCGCACAGTCGAAGAATCCACAGGTTGGGGACCGGCTGGCTGACTCGAGCCAATCGTGGCTCGCCCCCGCCCACTTCCGCATTGCTCTCGGCCAATCAGTGGCGAGCCCTGCGGACCAACGCGCGCCCAGGCCCAGTGCGGCCCATCTTCCTTCGTTCGGGGGGGGGCCCGCCCGCACCTCCGTGAAGCCCCCGTACGTGGTCTGATAAAACTCGTCTTCCTCCGTCTCGAGGAGGCCCGAGAGCCGGTTCCCCGCCGTGCGCCGAGGCGCCCGACCCCCGGCGAGGCCCGTCGAAGCGGACGCCGCCGCCGCCGCCGCCATCTCGGTCCCCTCGCGGAGCGGCGATCGAGGCGCTCGGCGCGCCACCGCGCGACCTGGCAGCCGGAGGCTTCTGCTTGGGAGAGCGGCGCCGAAGCAATCGAGCGCCGAGCCCGCGGAGGGCGGAGGCGGCTGGGCACGAGCGCCGCTTGCCGAGCCAGGGCAGCGCTACCTCGCGGGGGTGTTGTGAAGAGAGCCGAGGAGGAGAAGACTCGTGTGAGCCACCTGGCATCGCTTGGAGGAAGATATATAAATGCAATAAAATTAACACCTGACTGTAAATATTTCAATGTCGATGCATTGTATTTCATTGTATTTTATCGTGTTGTAAGCCGCCCCGAGGTTTTGGCAAGGGGCGGCATAGAAATGTTATAATAATAATAATAATGATGATGATGATGATGATGATGATGTAGTTGTCCTCCTCACTTGTTACATTCTTAGAGGGCCATGGTTATCATGGTGTTGTTTTTATGATGATTTTTTGTTTTATCATTCCACCTATGGAATGCGCTCCGCAGAGAGGTCCACCTGGCACCGTCATTATTTGCTTTTCGGCGCCAGGCAAAGACCTTTTTATTTAAACGATATTTTAACTGTTAATTTATTATTATTGTATTTATAGATTTTAATATATAGCCGAGATGATACCAGTTTTTAAATTATTGGTTGTATTTTTATGGATGTTGTGAGCCGCCCCGAGGCTTTGTTGCGATGGGGGTGGCACAGAAATGTTTTAAATAAATAAATAAATTTTGATGGTTGCGATTTTGATTATTGTAAGCAGCAGCTTAGAGATCCCTGTTGCAATAGTTAGTGGCACACAGGTATAAAAATAAATAAACAACAGATTTCAAAAAACTTGCTGCTTCTTTCCAGATGTGGATGGTGAGGTGATTCCGGGGAGCCAATACAAACAGGGTCTTGTTTAATAGGACCCAGGCAAATGACAGTTTATCGATAGGCTTCCTCTGTACATGGAAGCTGTATTTACCTGTCTTGCACTGGGAAATCTGTCTACCATGAGTTTTGCCCATTTAACCTTCCGTATATTTTTCTTGACAAAGCAGCAAATGCAGATGATACTGTAATAACAATAGCCTTTAAGATAATCTCTGCTGAGTTAGCCAAAGGTCCATTCAGTCCTTTATCCTGTAAGCAACAGAAGCCAGTAACTGGAACAGAACTCTCCTGGGTCAAGTCCAGGGATTCCTCTTCAGAATTGCATTGTAGATGGAAGAGGAACGGGCACATTTCCGGGATGAGCTGGACAGAACCCTCTGAAGGCAGAAATGGGTGCATTTGAAATCAGTGTGCCCAGGCCAGCCTTGCTTTAGAAAATCTCTGTAGTTGGGAACCTCCTCCTAAGATGAAATCAAGGCTCAGCATCCTGTTCTTAGCAGTGGACAGGTAGTGCTTCTTGTGTTTCCCTTCTACTGGGCAGTAGATAACTGGAACTAATAATAGTATGAGGACTCTGGTAACCCAAACTGAGACTTCAAAAATTACATTACATTACATTACAATGACAGTAAAATGTTAAAAGGAAATTTTAGATTAAAGCTCATTTATTTGGTTTAACTGAAGGCAGAGGCACTTGGGGCTGCAGATTATTTCCCAAAGCAACGAAGCCACTGATCTCTGGGATGGTTTTCAGATAATCCATGTGGTTTGTTTGAAACAGATGATCCTCACAAATTGAGATAAGCCAAACAGTCTGCAAAGGGTGGTTGGATGTGAAGGGTGAAGGGATATTCTCTGCTGACTGCAAAGTGTCCTTTGTTGTTATATTTAAGTGCCACAATTCTTCCTCATCCAAGGAACCCAGTGGAACCAGCTGCATGGAGAGGTGGGGGGCTCTCCCACACTGGAGACATTCAGGAAGAAACTGGGCAGCCATCTGAGTGGGATGGTGTGCCTTGGTGTCCTGCAACAGCAGGGGGTGGACTAGATGGCCTTCATGGCCCCTTCCAGCTCTACTTTTCTACAATTCTATGAACCCTGGGTGTCTTATAAGCTTCTCCTCCCTCTGTGCTTTATCCTCACCTTCCTAGCTCTGCTTTGAGATTACAAAAGGAGTTGACAACATGAACCTGATTTGAACTCAGTGATTTTCCAGGGAATGCTTACTTTCAGGTAACATCTAATAACTAGGCATTTTGCAAGAACTTGTATTTAAACATGAAATGAATTTCGTAAAAAGTCAATCTGTACTTTTATTTTAGTGCAGAAGTTTAGCTGGTTTATTTAACCAGTTAATCAACTAAAGACTGCCACACTGCTTTTACTATGAATCCATTGGAATAGGTTATGACAACAACCTGGAAAGAGAAATAGAAATTTGGACAGAAGCCCAGAATCCCGAGTTCTAGGCCTATACCAGAGAGCAGCCTTGGCAGTTGCTATGGTCGAGTCTCCAAGTTTTGCATCTCTAAAATGGGAATATATACATGTTCAAACAAGTACACCAGCACTGGCTTTTATGGCTACTTCATTTCCTGAACTTCCTGCACAGGGCAGTGCAGCACATACACCGTCTCAGCTTTGTCGTCACAACAATTCTGTGAGGTAGGCTAGTCTGAGATAGCAGGTGGTTAAAGGTAACCCAGTGAGTTTCAGGGTGGGTGGGAATTTAACTCAGATCTTCCTGCCTCTTGAACTGACTTGAGGTATACCCTTTTTATATATTTAGAATTGTGTTTAGGCTTCCTTTAAGGGAAGAATCTTAATTTTTTTAATATTTTCTTAATTGTAGCATTTATAAACCATTAAAATCACAAAGCAGTATCCATACCTAGTAAAGAAGAAGAAGAATATTAATATTAAGAATGTGTGATGTCACTAGGGAATCAGGAGGTGAGGTCATCATGGCAGGGGAATGAAGCAAGCTGCATTGCCATGGCAACGGGATTGCTGTGCCAGGGCGTGCCCTGATTGGCCAGTTTACGTTGCTATGACGACACCATTCTGCCCTTTCCTGGTGAGAGCATCCTTTGTGATGGTGGGCGAATACCGCCCACTCTTACGCAATGTGTGACCAGCCACATTCCTTCTAACGCATGCGCAGCCACCCGTCTCCCACCCGCTTCCTGGCTACCCTCGTTCCGTTATATACGAAGCGGTGGCGCTCTTTCCATTCTCTAACCTGGTCTAGTTTCACCCCCTATTGCCAGTGCAAAGTGGTTTGTCCATGGAGCCGTTTGGGCGGGTCCATGAGAGGAAGCGGGTGTGTGGCTTCTGTATATGTGTGTATGTCAGTGTAAGTGAAAAACAGGAGGTGGAGGAGGCGTGGCCACCCCTCCAGTCGCGGGGGTGGTGAGGCCCGCAGACGCGGCAAGTAGCGAGGCGGACGAGACCAAGAGGAGAGACTGGGGGATGAGGGAGGAGGAGAGGAAAAGGGAGTAGTGAGAGGAGACAAGACAGTGCCGCAAATAAATAATTTAAGGAAAGGAGGCGGATCGGACGGAGAAGCTATAAGATGGCGTCGGCCGGGCCTGAATCTGGGGGGAGCAGCAGTAGCGGTGGCGGCGCTACAGGTGAGGGGGCCTGATGGGGGGCACATGGTACCCCCCTTTCTAAGGGGGTCAATGCTTTGGGGGCTTTGCCTCTGGGGATTTTCTCATCTGGAGAGCCAAACAAAGATATTGGCATGGGGCGAGTTCAGAAGTTTTGGGGGGAGATACTGAGCCCCTCCCATGAGTTAGGGGCTTTTATGGGGGATACTGATGGGGGTCCTCCTTTGAGGGGAGACGATCCGGAAAGAAGCTGTTTGCATCGTGTAGAGGGGAGGCTTGGGGGGTTCAGAAAGGAGAGGAAGGGATGGGGGGTAAACGCGATCCCCCTTTCAAATGGGGGTCAAATCAGTGTGGGATTAATGCGAGGAGAGGGGTCAATTTCACGCTTTAGAAAGGGAAGGGAGGAAGTTCCTGGGAAGGAGACGAATGACTCCCCCCCCCCCGCAAAAAAAGCTGCTGTCAGTGAAACAGGTTAGATGGGTGGGGGCTGCTGGCATTTTTGGAGGGGCACTCAAGGGGAGGGATGCTAAACATGCACCCCCAGTGGGAGGAGAAAGTTGAGAGGCGCTTGGGGAGAAGAGGGGGAGATGAAGGAGTTACACAGAGGGGATCCGATCGCCCCCACAGGTGAGAGGAGGCTGTTGTGGCTCTTTTGTGGGGTTGGGGATCACTTGGGGGGGGGCTAGGAGAGGGAAAGGATTACGCGAGGGAGGGGGACAGCCGCCTCCCTAAAGGAAGGGGAACAGGTGAGAGAAGCGCACTGGGGGTCCTCACTGGGCTGGGGGGCTTGGCTGAGGGGGGTCAGATCGATCCAAAACTCCGGGGGCAAGAAAGATTTTGCTCCCCCTCCCCCCGAGTGAGAGGAAGGGGCTGAGCCGCCAGCCTGTCTCAGTGGAGATTTGATGGGGGTCGCTTGCATTGCATTGCAAAGCTTAAAACTTCAAAGATCTCGAGCAACTACCGTAGCAAAGCGCGGAGCAGTCCTGGGGTCGGGGGACGGGGGTGAAACACGGCAGTGAGACATGAATGGGGGGCTGGATGCAGCCCAGCCCTTCGGGACCGTGGGGTGACGTCATGAAAGCGAAACGCGGAACCTCTCCCCCTCCGTGGGGACGGGGCATGGGAGAAGTTGTGGGGTAGGAACAAAGGGCCCTCCGGAAGGGGCTGAGGCAGGCATTCGTCTGTGTGTGTGTGTGGGGGGGGGGGACCGATTGCTCAGGTGGGGGTCCATGAGCAAGAGGGGAATGGAACCTGCACACGCCGATGGCTTCTGGTTGCATGTGCTGCACGTGTACGAGGGAGAGTCGTGCGGCGTAATCCGGGAGGGTGGGAATAAACATCTTGTGTGTGCGAGTGAGGTCATTTCGGGAGCTGATTTTCTTATTTTTTACTTTTGGGGTGGTCAGGAGCGCTTGGCTTCCCCCTTCCAGGACAAGGTGGAAAGGCGGCCCTGGGAAAGCGGTGTGGATCTGGAGAAGGGATCCATGG